GACCATTGAAGTACATTGTGAAAGGAGACAGATGGACCACAATAATTAATTGCTATTGTGTTATATATATATATATATATATATATTATCAGGTCCACTTAGCATACACAATTACAGATTGTCGTCCATCTGTTTCTCTGCATAATTTTTTCAACCCTCTTCATCAATGGTCAGGACCCCTACAGGCCCACCACTGACTCGATATTATTGGGATAGTGGACCGCTGCCATAACAGCAGTGACCCTGACTTTGTGGTGACTAGTTCATACATAGAATTAAACATGATGACAAACTGCCACTATTCACAATTAATCAACATTTGATACTGAAAGTTCTCAAGCACCACATGAGTGTTTTAAAATGGTCATCCTTTCAAACATTTCTGCTTCTGATTGGTCAATATGTAGGTCACGTTTGTGGCTTTGTCAGGAATGATTGATGAACTAGTGTTTTGGGTTCTACCCACAATGGTTAGCATTAGCATGTCTTGTTTGATGAATGGTTCAGTGCCCCTGGTCTACTTTATGATGCAGCTTGCCTGAAGAACCGTATTGGGTGCTGAATTTAAATGGAAACCAATTCCACAGTGAACACTTGTTCCGATGTTGAGGAAAAGGGACGCAGCTAGTTGGCTGTAGAAGCCCATCAGGCTTATCTAAGAGAGTCCCATTACTGATCAAATAGATGAATGAGATTTACATTCACAAAGCACCCCAGAGCCACGACAATTGTTCTGGAAGGATCAGTGGAAGGGCTGACAATGGTTTGTAATGGGTTAGATTCCTAAAGGACCCCAAACCTGATATTTTAGGCGTTATTTAATCCGTTACAGAATGACTAAAAAAGTCTAGAGCAAAAACTACTGAAACAAAATTTCAGGAAAAAACAGCAAAAGTATTAGTAGTCTGTTTTTGTTTTCAAACTACAACCCAAATTCCAAAAAAGTTGGGACGCAGTGTAAAATGTAAATAATGTAAATAAAAACAGAATGGAATGATCAATGATCATTTTAAGGATTCTCATAGACCTATATTTTATTCACAATAGGACATTGCACACATATCAGATGTTGAAAGTGAGACATTTTACCATTTCATGAAAAACACAAACTCATTTACAACTTAATGGAAGCAACGCATCTCAAAAAAGTTGGGACAGGGCCAGGTATACCATTGTGTAGCATCCCCTCTTCTTTTAACAATAGTCTATAAACATCTGGGAGGTGAGGAGACCAATTGCTGGAGTTTTGGGTGAGGAATGTTGTCCTGTTCTTGTCTGATGTAGGATTCTAGCTGCTCTACAGTCCTGGGTCTTCTTTGCCGGATTTTTCGTTTCATGATGCGCCAAATGTGAATATTGGTGAAAGGTCTGGACTGCAGGCAGGCACCCGGACTCTTCTTCTGCGAAGCCATGCTGTTGTGATAGATGTAGTATGTGGTTGAGCATTGTCTTGCTGAAATATGCAAGGCCTTCCCTGAAAGACACGTTGTCTGGATGGCAGCATATGTTGCCAAAACCTTTATATTTCGTTCAGCATTAATGGTGCCTTAACAGATGTGTAAGACATCCCATGCCATGTACACTAATGCTCCCCCATACCATCATGGATGCTGGCTTTTGAACTGTGTGCTAATAACAAACTGGGAGGTCTTTGGCCTGGAGGATGCAGTATCCATGATTTCCAAAAAGAATTTCAAATTTTTGATTCATTGGACCACAGGAGACATTTACACTTTGCATTAGTCTATCTTAAATGAGCTTGGGCCCAGAGATGTTGATGGTTGTTGTCCTGTTTATATATAGTTTCAACATCTATACGTCTGTTATTGGTACTTTTTGGACACATGCATTTCTTTTTTAAATCTCAGTCAATGCCTCTTGTTCATAAGAAGTTGTTTCCTGTTCCTTCAGACAATTATTAAGTCCCCATGTTTGTTAGATCTTTGTCCAAAAGCATAGAATTGTGAAAGAATTGTATGCTCAGTCATTGTAACTGGCTTCTTATAAGTGCCAAAGCAATTAACTCTCATCACTTTTTAGGAATAAAGTTGCTAAGGCTAAAGGGTCTTAAAAGTCACTAAGTCTAGTGGCTTAGGCAGGGATGAGGCAGGGATACATTTACCACAGTGGTTGTATGAGCCCATAATTCATATTGATAGTAAATATTTTGGCAGTAAACGAAGACCCATGTCTACAGAAAAAAGACCCGTGACAATAGCCCAATAGCCAGACCCTAAACATACCCCTGGGCTAGCTTCAGTTCTTGGTAGACAGAGACGGCCGCTATCAACATATGCCATATGTCATATCTGGATAGCTGAAAAAGCAGTTAAAAAAATGCTGCACTTTTTGTCGATCACATGGTAGCTACATTCAAGTACATTGTATGCCTATACAAAATTAGATTTATCAGATCTACCTATCCCCTGTTCTACGATTCAAGTCCCGTGACTCCCCTGCTTTTAATCCCTGGGTTACCTTGTGTCTTGAAAAGATGTTTGTGGTGATGTTGTGGATCATTTGACGCTTGCTAGCTTTTGGTCGAGTTTTACACAGTATTCTTTGAAACCAGGCAAGCAAGTGGTAGAAGTGGTTAGTAGATAGCAGCAGCCAGACCCCCCTGTTGGCCAAAACAAGCACAATGTGAGACATCTGACCATCTACTCTAAGTACTTTCTCGGGGCTTTCCAGTGTATTTTTAATTCACAGTTCAAAAACTGGGACATTTCTGAGGACAGCTCCAGTCAGGGACAAGACACCAAAAAAACGGGAACTGTCCCTGGAAAATGGGGATGTCTGGTCACTCTGTGCTAATTTGTGCAGTATTAGTGCTCATTACTTGTTAGCTACATTAGCATCATAGCTCCAGAGCAAAACTAAGGAAGCAAACTTCAGACACCAAACATATCTTGGCTGATTGAATACATTTGGGTCAAGAAGAAAATTGTGTCAATTAGATTTTCAACCAAACTATCACCTGAACTTCCTTCTAGTTCTGCTCTTCTCTTGTATCTGAACTTAATAACCCAAACCCCCCTATGAATCATCATCGACACACCCGCATACAGCTTACCAGGTGGTCTGAACTTAATTTGATTGCACATAAAGATTGATTAGTGAAGGCAGGGGGCCACACAGTCTTGTGGATTGAGTGGTGCTGGGTTATTGTTACGGGTAATTGACAGACTTTGACCTTTAACAAACTGTTTTCTTTATAAGGAAGCTACGGCCTAGTGATCCAGCCTTGCTCACTGACCCCTGCCCCCCACCGTCCCTAAGGTGATAATGATAAATACAAACAAATTGATTGAGCACGCAACCCACAGACAGACACATACACACACACACACCTCATTCTCTGTGCAGTGTTAGGGATAAGGCTTTCAACTCCCTGTGTTTGGTTTTCAATCATATTTGTAGCTGATTATATCTTTTGATTCAGTTTTTTTTAAAACCTGGCACAGTCACAAAACTCAAAGAACAGATCTAATGTGAAATCACAATCAAAAGTTCCAGTTTGTTAGCAGATTGGCAAGGTAAAAGCCAGGCCGACCTGACTGCTATGAAAATGATAAGGGCTCTCTGAATGAGCTACAGACTAGAAATGGAGATATCAAATGAACTCAAGCCCGTCAGACTTTAAAGGCATTCATTACTACTTGCAAATGAGGTTTGCCATGTTTCAATCTGTCGTTTCCATGACCTGTCCCTGGATCGAATGAATCTTAAGCCGAGATGGAGTTGTGTCTCTTTTCTTAATTATGTTCCGTCTGCTTTAGATTTTTCAACTATATAATATTCACTGCTTTCCTCACTGTTTAGAGGAGAAAGATGTGCAGAGGCGAAAAGGGGAAATATAAGTTGTGGTCATGCTCTTTATTTCTATGGGAGTTGTATATAAAGCTGTGTATCTTTCTTTTTTGGACTGTTTTACACCATTATACACATTGTGAGAGTTTCATGATGAATGGACTAACAGATGTTCTGAAAGTACTTTTATACATTTATACATCTTGCTACATTTACATACATTAGGACTTTGTTTCTCTTTATAACCTACTATATTCAATAGATCCAGCACAGATTGCAGCACAGATCTGTGATGTTGCTACAGAGTAAACTAGTCGCTGTGATTTTGAGCTGTTTATTTTCTTGCTTCATTTTGTCACAGAAGCCCTAAAGGGTAAAATGAAAAAAAAATGTGAAAGTGTGTTCCTGAGTCGAAGTTGCACTTTTTTTTTTCAGCTTGTATAACATAAAAACATAGGTCTGCTATGACCAGCAAGGGTGACTGATTGCCTTTTCCCTTACCCTTCATAAACAAGGCCAAAAAAGAAAAAAATGCAAGGGAGCTAACTGGCTAACAATTACTATGCAATTCCAGCTTTCAGTTCAGTTTCATAGACTGCCAATCCACAGGCAACCAGAGAGTTGGCCCGTTTGGTTCACTGTAGTTTCTTTACTGTTTGTAGCAGACTGTAATGGTTCACAAACCTCAATATAGCTACTACCCCAGTTTGTCTCAGTAAGTTAGCTATCAAGCTAACTTACTTTCACGCATTGTTCACACACGTCATGTGGCTCTTTAGATGGATGTTGTTACATTGTCTTTGTTATGAAACTGCCCTGTGTTTTACTGTAATAGTGCTATTCCTGAGCCCTGATAAATTATGTATTGGTTTGGATTGATTACATTTCTAATGCGCTTCTGTTAGCACACCAAAACATACACTGATTACTCTTATAATGCTGTCATTTTTATTTCATAACCTCGTCAATTGTTTATCAGCCACAAATGAAGTTTACTTATGACAGCATCAACATGTGTAAAGGAGTCTTTCATCTAACAATGTAAATGCTAATGTGGCTGATTGAAATCATAATGTTGATAATGTTAACCGGCCCCTACTTGAATTTAGTATCAGCTAAGTTAGCATTTTAGAGTGAAGTGCCTTGACCTGTCGAACTAACGCTTCTTCCAACATTGCTCTGTTTTCCAGATCATGTTGTTGACAGACCCGGAGGTGGAGAACAGTCTGCTGATCAGCACAGATGAGGGCGCCACCTATCAGAAATACCGCCTCAACTTCTACATCCTCAGCCTCCTTTTCCACCCTGAGCAGGAGGACTGGATACTCGCCTATAGCCACGACCAGAAGGTATGCTGTTGTTCAATGCACTGGTCTCCAAACAACATCTTGGAGACTACTGCTGAGTTCAGCTGGACCGACATGCTGTAAAGGCACACACACACACACAAATGCACACACACTAATGGTCATGTAAACAGCATACTGCCATACACTATATTGAAGTTCTGTTGGCATATCGGTCAGTACTTATCTAAGAGGAATTTCCTTTGCTGCTCAAACACACAAACAAAATACACTTATACACAAAGCATACCTGATCTCTGTTAAATTACAAATATTGAAATAAAATAAACAAGATAAATAAACAAGGTTAAGATTGTGGAGTTCAAAAGTCTGATAGCAGAAGAGTTGGTGCTGTAACTAAACCGAGATGTTCTACATAAGACGCTTTGAAACCTTTTGCCAGAAGGGAGCTTCTTAAAAAGCGTACTGTGCTGGGTGTGAGCTATCGGCATAGATTTTTAATGCTTACTTTTCCATCCTTTTGGCGTACATAGACACGACAGATGGAAGTTCACAACCAGTGATTTTAGAGGGAGTATGTCACTGTACTACCATACCAGACACACATGGAGAAAGTCAGCACACTCAGGGCTCATCATTTGGCAGCCTGAGGCACGGATGCAGACCCAGCTATTTATTTCCATGAACTGAACCGAACGCTAACGTTCTGTAGAACAGCCGATTAACATATGTAAAAAATGGTCATAATTCAGCACCATGCTGGGGTCCAAAAGGCTGAGACCACAATGAAATCTGCTTTTTACTTGGAAATGAATAATAAAGTTTTAGAATTTTGAAAGTTTTAAATAAAGAAAAGTTATGACAAGGAGAAAGTATTCAAGATTGTGCACTATTTCTAGTTTCACTCTTCAAATTTAAGCATATTTGAGGCATTGACCATGTTTAGGCCTTTGTACAAAAAGGTTAGATTTTTTTTTTTAGTCTTATCTTTTATCTCTTTCTACAAAATTGTGGAATCTATGCCAGCTCAAACGCATTCTGTGATGAAAGAAAAGTTGGACATACCAAATACTAAGAAATTTTTAATTCATGTTTAAATTTCAAAGATTTTCACTTAAATTGTTTTGTTGATAATAGAATTTGTAAGGAAAATCTTTTGACTAAATTCTAAAAGAATGCAAAATAGAAGGATTTTCATTAGTGGTCTCAGACTTTTTGACCCAACTATACATGAACATGCACCTGTGCAGATTCTGTAGCAGTCATGTCTTGTAGTTATCCACTCACATGTATTTATGTAAACGACAAAGGTGAAAGCAGCTCATCAGAACAGAGACCACAGGGCAAGATATCAATTCAGTAATAGAATAATTTCACACATTTTTGTGGTTTCTTAAGTAAGGATCGCACATGGCCATAATAGAGCTGACATGCAAAGTCATATACTAATGTAAAGGTTTCATTTACTGCATGTAGGTTGGTGATCCTAATTTAATCCTTCAGTCACTTTTGTTCTTGTTTTTTTGGTCTTGAGTCTGTTTTAAGTTATAAGTCATTATAATATCCCATTTAAGTGAAGAGGTTTTCTTCAGTTTTATTCCCATTCAGTGTGAATGCAGCTTTACCCGGTTCCTTAGTGTACGCTCTTAGTCATCTTCCTTCTACACTGTAGGTGGTAATTCTTTGGTAAGATTGTTGTGTCCTTGTCTTTTACTGTACTATATTTGCTTTAGTGTCAAATTCCAGGGCAGATGGAAATTACATCAACTAAAGTGCACATCTATTTCATTTAATTTAAACTGCATTGAGTCTCAAAGGCAGCAATTTTCCTGGAATTCACAGAACTCTGATCTACCAATATGTTCATCTTATTTATTTTTGTTGTTATTGTTCTCCAATGAAAACCTCTCTGAAGGTGATGAACACTCTAAAAAAAGGATGGTTCTTCATAGGTTCTTTAGTAAAGGCAATGCTTTATTTAGATGCATGAGTTCTATATAAACCCATTTCATGCTTAAATAGTTTATTGCATGGTGAAATGGTTCTGATATGATTGGTTGACAACAATTTTCATAATAAGTATATATAGAACCATATACAACACATTTTCCATCAATCTGAAGAACCATTTCACCATGCAAAAACCACTGAAGCATGAAGTTTTCTATATAGAACTCAATAGAACCATTGCCTTTACTAAAGACCACCTGAAGAACAATCATCTTTAAGTGTGTGTAGTTTCAAAGGGAAAACAGACCTGCTTTAGCTGCAAGGTTGACACAGAACGTCGCCAAAGTAGAACCCTTTGTAATGAAAAGCATTCCTAGAAATGATGACAGATTAATTGAAATATCCTAATTATTTCTTCAAATGGAAACTATGAATATGAGGTAATATGTAATAGAAAACTATGTGAAGTTAGTCTAAAGAGTGCAATTAAAGCAATTTATGGGTTCCAAGTCTTGTGGAATTACCATTAATAAAATGCTCCCGTTGCAGCAGAGCTCTTTCCAAGCTTGTTTTAGAGCTGATCAATTATGGAGTGTTTTTTTTTTTCTTGTTTCTGAAGAAATTTGCACTGCATCAACTTCACAGAGCTGTAAGAGAATAAAATATGCAGCATTAAAGGAAGACGCAAAACGCAAACACAGTAGAGATAAAACAAAAAAGGAAATAGTTGTTAGGCTGATGGCAGATTAGTTTGTGTCAGGCAGCTAATATGGCTGTTTTCTTAGTTTACTGCTTAGTCACTGAGCTCCAGCAAAAAGCCATTCAAGTTTGTATTCATGTGTAGTAGTATTATATGGCAGAAAAAGGCAGGAGAATGCATGCAGTGACATCATGGTATGCAACCTTGTTTTGGTCATGGTATGTGATCTCAGTTTCACTTGGTTTGAAATTAACATTGACTTCACCCTTGAGGGGAGATCATTGCAATACAATTAAGATTAAATAACCACTAACAAATAGCATTATCATCCAATTGATAGATAATTGCTGAGTGTTTGCACAGCACGCATGGGTGCCCGTGGTTGAAACAGCAAAAACTAACACAAACAAAAACACAATCACCATCGTAATTAAATCCCTGTCTAAATCTATACCACAAACAAATGACTAGTTTATTAGTGTTGACAGATTCTTTCTCAAAACAGACAGTTTTGAAAGTTGTGTGATTTTTGCAACGTCCGCACTACTTCGGGCCTTCTGGCACATACAATCTACACTCAGTGGTCCATTTAATGGAATATTTGAGGCAGAAAAGCTAACATGGCTAGCAAAGAATGAAAGTCAGTGGTAATGTTCTACTATAACATCGTCTACATAATGCTAACTGCATAGTTATTTGCGTTTTTGAGCCAAGTGTGCTGTTAAAAACACCTCTGCATTGCCATTTAACCAACTTATGTATCTACCTTTATCTAGTTTGCCATCAACCGAAATTGCCTGTTTGATTTCAAGCATGACCTTCCTTAAAGCATAGTTTCCAAAGTTCATAATACGCAATGAACAATGTAAGACAATGCAAGACATTTAAAATGTAATTCACTTTTTTCATAATGTCTGCATATTTCAGTGGTTGAGATGCAAACAAGGCCTTTCAAAGTGTCTTGAGGTGAAATAATGAATTGTAGAGAACTGCAGAACCTGGTACTGTAGTTAGTACTGTAGATAACATTGTAGCTATGTTCCCTTTAAACCTAACAGCCAAATTTCTACTTCCATTAGCTGCTAACACTTTACACGGTTACTGTAGTCACTCTCAACTGGCCGCAACTTTACCTCCATCATGCTCAAAACCTGGCTTCTGCCAGAAAACAAAAGCTTGGCTACACCACTGTCAATCATCCTGCAGTCTGAAACGCTCAGTCTCTATTAGCCAGAGACGTTTTTCTAGGTTTTAACTCCATTTGAATTATGGAGATTGCAGTACTGTGCAAACGTTTTAGGTTTGTTTGTTGCTCAGAAAACCACAATACAAATAACATTAACGCAGTATTGATTTTCTGCACCAGTGTGTTTGCTAAACATTTACAAAGCTCTCTTTGAGGCAGCACAGCAGTATTTGTAGGTACCATCCAATACCTGGTTTGGTTAATCAGTGCTTCATTGAGTTAAATCAGGAGTGCTGCTGAAACAAATCCATTCGATGGCAGGGGGTACTGAGGAGTAACCTGGAACCAATCCCCTGTTCCTCTAACCAGCTCATGAAATATCGACTCCTTTTTTTAAACAAGGTATTCTTGTTACTTTCACTACGTTAGCATTTGTTTGCATTTATTCTTATGTTATTTGCTTAGGTGCCTAAGACTTTTGCACAGTGCTGTATATGTAATAGCCAAGCCTCATATCTTTAATTTAGGATTAAAAAAAATATATTTGTAATTGAATTGATAGCCTTTTAAAAGAGCTATCTAATCCAAAAAAAACATCATGCTAATTACTGCCTGCTGTCTTCCATTCATCGTTAGTAGTTTTAGCATACTCGGGAGAGCTCTTCCTTAACCTTGTTGAACTACAGACATCCCAAGCAAAAGTCACTTTATTCTAGGACATAATCTTTTAGAAAGTGGGCCACAGTTGGCTTCTGTCTGGACCTGGTTCCACTGCAGCCCAACCTTAAGTCCTAATCAAGTCCATTGTGGCCCAGTCCTCATTTATTATTTTTTTCAGTTTTGTAGCCTTGCCCACAAGTCTGTGTGGAAAGCGTGACCTAGCCCCTTCCACCCACAGGCAGCATGCCGCAGTGGTGGCGGGGGCCTGTGCGATTGTGATATTTCAGCACCCTACTGATACACTGGCGTGCCAACACAGGCTGCTATGAAACCCCCTACTGCGTTAGATCTGCCTCACTAAGCCTGGTGAGACCACGCTCGCTTGTTATGAAGCAGCTTTTTCCACTCAGAAACACCTCCATAACTATATATTGTACCAGGAGTGCTGCTTAAAAAAAAGTTTTTCGACATCCGTATGGGATGTGGTTTTTTGTTTTGTTTCATTTTTTTCTCCTACACCGAAACCCTGCTGGGAGGACCAAAACACAGCTGTTGTCTTGTTTGTCAGTGGATAATATCATATTTCAATTTAATGTGAAGTGATTTGACCACATCGGGGATACTTCACTTCTGTTTAAACAGATTTAAGCAACTTAGACTACTAACACTGTGGATTTTTAACTTGAGGAGTTATAAAAGAATTGTTTGGCAAAAAAATAAATGTAAACAACTTTTTCTCTACCTTAAATGCAGTCAAACACCCAAGACATTTCCGAAGTCTTTAGTTTTGCGCTGCAGCTACGAGCTTGTTAGCTTTTTATGCTAATACATAAGTGTGGGAAAAGTACAATGAAACTGTGCTGAAGTGAACATATGGGTACTGTCAAAATCATAATGAAAGTAGTTAAAAGTGAAAAGTAAAAGTTATAAATGATAAAATGAAAGGTGTGACCAGAGATGGTGGTACTGCTTCTTGCACAAAGATGAATTAGCACAGTCATGGGCAGTTTAATTCTACAATTAGTGTGAGTTTGATCTTTTTAATAAAAAAAAATGTAAATTAAAACATGCATTCACTTAACTGATTAGAAAGAGAAAATGAAAAATCCCGTGACAGCCCTTGAGGGTTAAAATGTTAAAGGTATGCTTTTTTCATGGAAATGTAACTGACGAAAAGTAGAAGAATTTAAGTGACTAAACCTCAAAAGCAGCCCATTTTGTGATCACTCTTTATGTGATGTCATGAAAAACTAAATTATGTACCTATATAGCCGTTATGTACATATATATTTAGCCCCACCCATTCACACTGAAGTTATAAGGAGTGTTTCAGTCTGGACTGCTTCTTAAATGGGCCACAAAACAGGGCTGCCAATCAGAACAGAGATGACAAAGATGTGGAAACAATAACAGCCTGTTCAAATCCAAGAGATAAAGAAAGGCCAGAAAATGGTCATCTGAAAATGAATTGTGACTGTTTTAGGCACATAACATCACACAAATGCCCTGAAAGGACTTCAAAGGAAGAAATAAATGTAACAAACAATTAGGGAAAGGACAAAAATATCTTGCATAACTACAAATAATACTAGCAATCTGTTATTTATAGATTTCATATAGATCGACTGATTGACTACATTTGGAAAACTATGTAAATTGGGTTTTTCCACCAATTCTTCCTTTTAAGACAGAGCAAATGGGCAAATGTTTCTGGCTATTTCTATATTGTATAATCACACATGTTCTTGCACTTGTGATTCCTTTTAGTCTTATAACTTAATTCTCTCTCTCATTGTCTCTCAGCTCTACAGCTCGGTTGAGTTCGGACGGCGGTGGCAGCTGGTTCATGAAAGAGTCGCTCCGAATCGATTCTACTGGTAGGTGCACACAACAGGAATTCCTTCTGTTGAATACTCCACATCGATCACTTTTACTGCTCCCGGTCTGTAGCGCTCTGAGATATAAATAGAAGATAAGAACATGGATTTTCATTCAGCTTTGATGTGAAAATCTCCACAGAGCTTTCCTTCTCTGGGGAACCTACCCTGAGCTTCTTTTCCCTGGGGAACGTACTGGTGGTCATTAAAGCTTATTATGGATTGGAATCAACATTTGGCATGCTATATGTACATGACTGGGTCGATGTAAGGCAAAGTAGACATATTTCAACTTGTTTAAGGTTTTTTATAGCTGGGTTTACTGAGAGAAACTAACCCTTAGAAGTAGGCATGTATTACTTATATTACTGTGCTAGACAACTCAAATGAAACTTTGTAATTACTAGAGCTGTCATAGTATTCGAATAGTGAATCACTGTTACTTATACTTATTTGCACTTAATTGCATTTGTCTTATTTGCTGAAGTTTGACCCTGTAGAAAGATTCGTTCTAATTAAAAAGCAGTCCATTTTGTTATAGATATGGGTGGACAGGGGGGTTCATTACAATCTATTACAGTCAGCAATTCAATAACATTATTTCAATCATTTGAACATGAAACGAATTCAATTTGTGATTTCCACAGGATGAGCACATCTTCCAATCTTCATCACTGAGATCCAGTGAGACATTCCAGCCAAAGTGTATACAGTCACATGTAAAGGTGTCAAACTATATGCACATTTTATTGAAACCTAACATACTGCATTAAAAACAAGAAACAATGTGGCCTGTGCAGAAAGGTGTGACATGTTTTATATTGTATGTTTACATTTTAAGCAAATAAATTGAAATTTTTAAATTGACATTTAAATATGCAGTAAAATGCCATGTTTAGGTTCCCTGTAGAAGATTTTTTACTTAGAAAATCAACAACACAGTAAACATGCTAGTAATCAACTAACATGTAACCGAGGATATTCAAACTTTTTCTTATGACTGTATATTGTAAGATATATGGTTAATATATACGGTCAGTGGCTCCATCTCCTCTGCGATCCTTTCCCCTCGATCTCATTCTTGTTCGTACAACTCGTGGATTCTTTTTACGGTGGAGGATATCGAGTACTGTATCTTTCACTTTTGCTGGTGCTTTTATTAATTTGCTGCTCATTTATTTGTCCATAGGTCTCCCACAATACTGCCCAGCATAGTCTGCTAAAGGCGCACAGCTATTTAAAAGGTGTATTTGAATGAGAGGGCCATAATGACAGATTCTTTAATAGCAGCATACAATGTGTAAGCAGCTGGGCTTGAGCCTACACTACTTTGGATGGTTTGAAGGGCCATGGTGTTAAAAAAAAAAAAATAAATACTGGCGGTAATAATTTCCTGCATGAACATTTTATTAATGTGTTAACTTTGATAGCCCTAGTAATAATATGTTTATATAGTGAGTTACGCAATGAACACATTTAATTTATATATTGTTTTGATAACATTGAATCAGACTGTTTTACATTTATTTGATGAGGTTATGACAAAACATGGCAAAAATGTAAACAGTATTTATTTGCACGATGCAAGACTGTATTCAGAACTTTTCAGCAAATGCAAATACTAAATATCTTCTTTTGTACTTACAAAAGCAAATGTGGGATCAACTGAACACTTAAAATCTGCACTTTTGGCAGAATTCCTCTGCTTATTTCAATGAACTTTGAGTGAGAAGTAGTATTTTTATCACCAGTGGTGACTGCAGCTTCTCAAGGTTAAAGAAAGAGCATCTGGGTTGTTTGGTTTGTCTCAGATTAGGTAGGTACAAGCTTTTCCACTATAACAGTATATACATAGATTCTTTGATTGAATATAAGATCTGATTTTATTCTTGTAAAAACTTCGAGTCAATCAGACCACAAGCTAATATTTCACTGAGCTCCCCTCTCTCAAACCAGTTCAACCCTCTCTTTCTTCTCCCACTTCTGCACTCGCTTGCTTCTTCTGTAGCCGGCCCAATGCCAGACAATCTGGAACAGTCAAGTCCAGCCGTTTAGGGACGCTCTATGCCAGGCTTAAGTTCTGGAGAATGCTTTAGTCAAATGACGGAGGAACTGTCAGAGCTCCAGCTTCTGAGCATAAGCCATGAGGGCTGCTGACAAACTGGATGCTTGTGTGAGATTTACTTCAGAGGTCATAGATCACAGATGAAGACGTTTTTAGAGGTTTCTTTTCCAGTTATGGAGAGTCATATTACATGGTTCAATCAACAGACAGCGTTCAACAAATACAGTGCAGGGAAAAGAATAAGCAAACGTTCTTAAAACCTTTGGAAACAGATATTTGAGTAGAAAAATGTTATTTACCAGTAGGGCTGTGACTCTTGTCTGTATTAGTAATCGAGAAATCTATCAATTATTTTGGCGATGGAGTAATCAGGGCTTAACAAAGGATGACTTAACTGAACAATAATCCACAGCTTTTCAAAGATTTCAATTTTATTGAGAGAAGATAAACTAGGAAGTCTAGGAAGATTTCATTAAAAATACATAAAAAAAAAAAAAGGATACCTCAGATATCTCAAAAGATAACTTGAGTAATCCTGACAGCTCTATCTGGAAATAGGCTCTGGGGATATTTAAACAGAATTTTCACTATACTTTCATTGTCTTCACTAATTGACCCTGTACCACCATCGGCCCACCTACCCCTCTGCAGCTTAGACCTACCTTCTATTCTATTTTAGGTCATGTTTTTTAACAGTAACCATTTTAATGAAAATATTTGCTCCTGAGTGGCCCAAATGTCTAAGCATTGCAATCTCAATCACCAGTGATGCCACAGCCAGCATGGTGCTAGCCAAAGTGGGTAGGCAGTGTTAGCTGACGTAAAAGAACTGGGAGTTAGTGTTCTTCTCCAGGTGTGTCGAGCTATCCAAGAATGTTGCGTCAGTGGTAGCTCAAAAAGATGTGGTGGCTGCCTTCATATGACTTGGAGAAAGCATGTGCTTGCCTTCACCCTAGTGCTGGTATTGTTGTGTGACTGGGGGAGACCTAGCTAGTGGAAGGAACTGGACATGACTGCTGGTGTGCCCTGGCCATTTAAGGGGTTAAAATAGCCATATCAGTCCAGCAAATACAAAACATGGCCATGAGTTTATTGTAATTACGAACAGGGAAAAACGATCCCTTAAGTCTAGTAAAGTGGGCAGAATTTCCCCCTGGTGTGCATGTAACTTAGGTCTTTGTCGTCGGCATTAAGGAGAAATGAGTCCCTCCTCCCCCTCGCCAACACCATGTGATACAGTCCCAGTAATGTATATATGGCTGCTCTCACTTCCTTGCTCACTTCTGCTGGGTGGATCTCATATCTTCAATCATTCATCCTCATTTCCTTTTCTTGCCTTCTTTTCTCGCATCTTTGCTTCTTCCTCTGAGGAAAGGAGAAAAAGATGCAAAGATGCGATTCAAGGACTGAGGAATCCATGCCAGATGTGTTTGCCAAATGAGAAAACGTTCACTCTCTCGTTACTTTCACAGATCTGTCGATAATAAACATTTATATTCTATTATTCTATTATCTACTGACTTTCCACATGGGAATGCTTAATTAAAATTCAACCACATCAGCTATTAAACTGACTAACAACATACTATGACAGTACCATCTCATTAACTGTAATCACCCTATGACTATACTCAGTGGAAGCGGAGAAATTGTAACACACACCTACGTTTGCACGTTGTGATTAAAAAAACTTCTGCGTAAGATGCATGTGTGTTTCTTCGCTCTGGAAGCCTTCTCTCTCCTCGATTCCTCCGAGCTGTTACGACCCGGTCTAGGGTCAGGCAGTAACAGAAAATGAAAGTGGTCTCTCTCCCCAGACCTGTCAGCAGACCAAACACCGGATACCATTTTCACAAGAAACAGGCTCATGTTTATTTATATTTTCTTAAAAGCCTCAGTGGTAAGATGTGGTAAGATGTAAGATGGGATAGTGAATTCAGGGGTGAGCATGTGCCAAAACAACAAACAAAACAACTAAAGGTTTTAAAAACTAACTAAGCCTGAAAACAAACAAGCTATCACATCTCCCTGCTACAAAATCAGGAAACAGTGCTGTAGGAAACAAATGACGCTTGCCCCTTACTTTTCACAGAGTTTCGCAGAATCTAAGAAAGCTTTCACAAAATTAAGAGAAGTGATTCGAAGCGAAGAGTGGAGTGAAAAGTGCCGGGCTGGTGTGGACAGGTGTACTTCCAGGTAATGTCAGAGGGGAGAGAGACCTGAATGTCTCCAATGTAATGGCTTTCCAAGAGTGCGCTCCTGTGTGGCTGTTCACGAACCTGTACATAATGCAGAATACACAGAGGAAAAACACACAAAGAGACAACACAATGCACGCAATAATATTACAACCAGGTGTCGTAACAGAGTGCATTGAAAGAATTGATTTGTCTTTAAAGATACACAGATGCACAGTACAGTTGGTTTCTGGGTCACAGGCTGGATGGGGTGGGACAGAGGTAATGAAGAGGCAGCAATAAGACATAGCTGAGTGTGTGTGCATGACTGATTCTTCTCTGTAAAAGAGACACATGAAATGCTGGAGAAACAGCAGACTACTACATTGCTCTGCTCAAGTAAATGAGTGGGTTTTACATATATATATATATATATATATATATATATATATATATATATATATATATATAAACGCTATATAACGTTTTTCATTTGTTATAATAGAGTCGCTCCAGGATTTAGATATAGATGCCTGTGGAAAGGCATGAAGTATTATGTTTCTTTGGATTTTACAACTCATCTGAACCATCTGGAAAATGCAGAGAATTTTCCTCAGACGGCGTGTCACTTGCAGCAGAGTGGTGAATTTACTGTAGCCTAGCGGCCTATCGAAGCCCCATAATCATCCATTGTTTTAACTGTAGAAGGAAATAAACGTGCATATTACTTAGCATTACTTAACAGACTGTTTAAAATTAAATTAGACTTCTCTAGAACTCAGTAAGCTCACAACATAGTGATCATCACCTTTGAAGCATCGTCATTAGTTTACTTGTCAGTCATTGATGATGTCTATCTGGGACATTTTGCCCTCTGCTAGTATTTGAGCATTTTTAAAGCTTGTCTTTCGCTTTCAGGACACTTATCATTTTCAGAAGTTTTATTTCAGTACAACAGCTTTGGAGGATACAGATGAAATGCAGTTTATGTAGGCTTTGTTGGAGAACCCATTCTCAATAACTCCAATTTCTCAGGGATCTCATTCCTCCTAATATTGTGCCAGATTTGAAACCCAAGCAAGATGGAGTAAGACAGGTCAAAACATCTAGCTCAGCTACAGATCTCACATTAAACACACCTTCTCCATACTAAACAGACGTTTCCTGGTGAGAGAAACTTGAAGGAAGGTGACGGCAAACTGCAAAAATCCCTCATGTTTTTCAGGGCAATCCATCTGCACTCTTAAAAAAAAAAGAGCTTCTTCATGGGTTCTGTTTTAAAGGCAGTGATTATATGCGGAAATAACCGCTTGAATGCCTAAATAGTCCTTTGCAGTACAGAAAATGGTTATTTTAATGTTGGGCTGCATTCAATATAACTTGATAAATTAGGTAATTAAAAAATTCGGAAACACAAAAAAAAGCAATTAGAATAACTGGTACTTCTATCCATTTTTATAGAACGGTGTGCTAATGTGTGTTCTTTTTTGTGTCAATTCTTCTTCCTTCTCTTTTTCTTCTATTGCTACATGATATTTATTTATTTATTTATTTATCTATCTATCTATCTATCTATATATCTATCTATCTGTTTGGCCTGTTCTTACTATGGAATATAATTTACATTGATCTTTGTAATTCCTTACAGAATTCCTTACATTTTAAAAATGGTTGGGCACCCCGGTCAGATTACATGCTTTGTGAAAATAAGTTACCCATCCTCTACAAGAAACACACTTTTGCACATTTTAATGCACAATTACTGTTTGTTTTCTGAATGTTACTTACTTGAAAGTAAATAAAACCTATAAAATGCGGCCTGTGCAGGTTATGGTACATTTTTTATATTTAGTTTTTAATTTTTTTCCCCCCAATATCTGACCAGGGATGTCGTTCTCAAACAGGTCCACAGAACCCTCCAGAGGGAGGGATGGAGCAATAATGGCTGGGATAAAGTGGCAGTATGAAGATATTAATCAATAATTTTACATTATGTTACAATGTGTTTTTCCGAGCACAGTAAGAATGTTAACAGCACTTAAAGAACACTGAACAAATGCCTGTTTAGTTACAAAAAGAGCACAATCAGGCCTGGTTAATTGAATTTAGTTCCAAATGAAACCATGAATAAAATAACTGTACTTTGTTCTTTTTTTTGTCTGTTCCAATTTGATAGTAAAGCAAAAAGTTCTATTTAGAACCATGAGTTCTATATAAAAGCATTTCATGCATAAATGGTTCTTTACATGGTGAAATGGTTCTTCAGATTGATGGAGAATGTGATATATATGGTTCTGTATAGAACCTTTTTTGAAAATGTTTCTTTATGGCACCAGTAGGGTTCTGCTATTGCTAAGATGTCAAAGACAAAAGCCCTGTTTGGTTCCATATAGAACCTTCTTCAAAAAGGTTCTATAGGGGACCATATATCACATTCTCCATCAATCTGAAGAAACATTTAAGCATGAAGTGGTTCTATATAGAATTCATGGTTCTAAATGGAACCACTGCCTTTACTAAAGAACCTTTGAAGAACCATCTTTTTTTAAGAGTGTTTCATGAGAGTGTATATCATGACAAAATATCATAATGTCATATTTTTGCCATATTGCCCACCCTTAGTCTGGTGGGCCCTTAAAACCGGTTTCAGCACTGCTATTTAGCACCAAAAAGGCTTTCACTTTTGTTACAAGTCATAGAATCTTTCTTTGGTACTGCATTGAACCCTTTCTGCTAAGAGTGTGCTGCGGGAGAAGTAGGGCAACCCCACAGCAAGCTGAACTGTTGTTGTATCTTGGAAAACCGTCGATACTTCCGATAAATGTCCTATAAAGACGGAGACCGAGGATGCCTCTGCCTTTTGTGTGTTCCTTGCCGGAGCATTTCTCTCTGATTCTGCAGTCTCTTTAATAAATATTTCATGTTCTAATGATTTTTTTCTCCACATAAAGTTAAAGAGAGAGCGAGAAAGAGATCGGGAGAGCTGCGTGCGGCGCCTGTGGGCGTTCTTGAGAAGCAAATGAGAGGAGTTTCTGGTTTAATGATGGCAGGATGCATCCTCGACTTCTGTCAGAATGATGGCGGAGGCCCTAGTGCGTCGCAGGCTAGTCAGAGATAGCTTCCTTCGCTTGAAGTGCCGCCTTCACCTTGCGAGCTAAAGTAGAGGCTTCAGTCAAGAGTGAAAGCTGCCATGCTCGCTCGTCCTTCTCGCATGTTTTTGGCAGGAGAGGCCCCTCGAGATCCATTTGGATTTTGACTGATGATGCCTACTGAAAGACTGTGATCTCTGTATGGGCAAGAGGAGAGAATAGTGCACTGATCCCCTAGTAAATATCGCATGTCAGCATACTGCATGCAGCAAAAACACTGTACAACTTGGATATAGTGCCTCTTTTGTTTATATAGATGGTTATCTGTACATATGAAAGGCACACTGTGACCGTTAATTCGATCCGAGTAATTTCATTGTATATTAAGTCCAGCCCAATATGAAAATTTCGAGACCGATACTGATTTTAAGGGGTGAAAATTTCAATACGCTGTAATATTGGGGCCCAGAATTCTTAGCAGCTTTCTGTTAATCAGCTCTGATTTTTTATATTTTTCTTTATAGCAGAGTTTTTGCTAGGAATTTTTGGTGCTAGTGTCCAAGAATGATTCTGTTTGACGGACAAATGAGTAAAACTCCGGTGGTGAAAACGTATTCATGCTAATGTTCATGCAAATCTATTTTGTGTCATCACATGATGCGCTATCACATAATATTATTGCATATTCTTAAGCAGCCCTAAATAAAACTAAAGAAAGACAGCATTTCATTTTTTTCTTGTTGCTGACTTAAAGTCAAATATATCTCAGAATTTAGAGACCCACTCGAATTTTACTTTAAAAACTTAAACATAAGCCAGGTTTAACCTGGAGCACCGCGGCTCACACAGCAAACCAGAGAGCATTTTGTCAGTCCACATTTTTGTGCTTTATCACAGTGGATAACGTGCAAATGTTATTGATTGTCAGATTAGTATAAACATATGCTTCTACTCTTAAATGATCAAATAAAGGTCTTGTTGACAACATCCAGGTGTAGCTACTCCAGTCAGCTACTGAAGAAAGCTTTGGTGGTAAATGATAAGGAGCTAAAATTAAAATAAACTAAACAGGGGCTTTATTTTAGCTAAATGTTTTGACATGCAGGAGGCTGAAGTTGAGTTACAGAACTTGAAAAGCATCAGTGACTGAACTGTGAAGCCGTTAACGGTGGTGTATATTTTAGGACCTGCTCAGACATCAGCATCAGGTATCAGACATCAGATATAACAGTATCTGTTTTCCATATGCAGAAAAAGGGGGGAGTGTATTTAGATTTTTACATGGATTTTTGGAGTATGAAGTATTTTTACTGGACACTGTTTGGCAAGAGTTTAATTTACTGATCATGCAGAGCTTTTACTGGTCAAATACTGGTATTTACTGACTTTTGAAAGTTTGTGTGTGTGTTATAATATGTCATCCATATGCTAAGGGTTAGGTCTGGAGACATTCTACATGTTTTGTTAAATATAACGTGTTTACTTGTTCAGCCTTTATTGCTGTAACTGTGAACCAAAGGAGCCTGTAAGCTTAGTGCTCTCTAGAAATACTGGCATGAGATGTCATAAGAAAACATAGTCTAATGTTATAAAATAAAGAATTTTAATAATCTATCACCCTTAACACCACACAGTCATTGCTAATCACTGTGCAGATGTACTAGGTAAGAGCTAATGACTAAAATAAATAGGCAATGTTCATAACATGTGGTGGCTCACAGGGCAGGAACTATGGGAGTGAAGAATAGGTTTTTAGGGAATTTAAAGACAAAATAGTCTGCTTTATATGAAAAAAATAGTATGCAGCCTCTTTCTGCCAGTGGAATGGAAATCGACTCAGACTCAGATATTTTTAATTAATGTAATCAAGTAAAATATTTTCCTCATAACTCTGTTATCAGATTAACAAGGACAATGTTGGTTCTCTGGGTGTGAAATATTGTGATCCTCTGTTGAGCTATTAGTAAGCAATGTGAAAACAATTCACGCCACACAGCTTTCTCAGTGTCAAAAATAATGTACAACTGCCAGAATACAATTAACATTTAAATGCAAAAAATGTTCCTAGTTTTGTCAGTGATACCTATTGCTGTTGAAATGTATTTTCTCAAAGTTACTGAAGAAAAAAAAAAAGCATGAAGGACCTTCAAAACAGGCTAAAACTGCATTTTATGGCTGCTGTTAAAAGAGGTTAAATAATTCAGCATTTGGAAACTTTATGAATGCACACAGTCCACATTTTTCTAGATATACTGATAATATGTGAAAATGTAAGGCTGAAAGAGTAGCTAGCTTTTGGCCTTGAGCCCACAACAAACATTACACTTTGGCTGCCCAATAAAGTTTGGGCACCCCTACCTTTTAGAAGTAAATAATTCTCACATCAGAGGAGCCGGTTTGATATGATGTAAAACATGCCACTAATTGTCAGTGCGTAACTGGATTTTATACTGTGCCAATAAATGCACAGGAAGCCAGTATTGTTGTATTCGTCAGACCTTACAGTACATGGAATTTAGTAAGAACTGACTGTATTGGTTAAACGGCGTACTAGCTAATTGCTTGCTATTGTCACTTCACCCATCCCCTCGTTCACTTATGTGTCTGTGTCCTTCTTTCTAGGTCCAAAATGGGTCTCGATAAAGAGCCCGGGCTGATTCACCTGGAGACCAGCATTTCAGAAACACGTAAGTCATTTTTTCCTCTCTAATTACACATCATTGACCTCTCTGTCTACAATGTCTACTTTCACCAAGTAATTCTCGATTCCTTCACCAAGCGATTCAAAGACAGCCCAGAGACCAGTTAAGGCTATAAGATGATTATGTCCAACAGCAATAACAAGCAAATCTTCAAATTTTCCCAGCTTGCTGGCAGTTTAGTCTCAGCCAGCAACTAGGAGTAATGGCACAACGTAGGCCGCCACTACTGTGGAAGCAGAAAGGGTTCGGCTTGCACATGTGACATTTACCCAGTGACTCCGCATGCCTGTTGATTGACAGAGAGACTGGGAAGGGAGGGTTTGTTGTAAAAGAAAAAAAAAAAAGAATAGAAAAAAAGAAAATGCTCAATACTGCACCAGCAGACAGGCAGTCAGATGGAGCAAGCACTCGCTAAGGCCACCGTAATGCCATCGCTATTGATCTAGCGACATCGAAAAGGCAGGCATGTACTTAGCTGAGGCTAGCAGACAAGGACAACATTCTCCCTTCTGTCTGCGCCTCGCAGATGAAATGAAAGAAAATCACAGGGCTTTCGCCTCAAGTCTTTTTGCCTCGAGGTCCCCCCCACCACCACCACCACCCCCGTCTCTGACTGGTCATTGAGAAAAGGAGCTACAGAAAAGAAAAAGGAAAAATGCTAACAGCGCTCTGGTGTATTCCACCTTGCTCTCCGGCTAAGACCCGGGCTAACATTAGAACATTACAGAATGATTTTCTTTTTTTGCCCTTGTTTATTTATTTATTTATTTGTTTTTTCTTCAGAGGCTCTTTATGTCACCTGCAAACTGCAGAATTGCACGGAGGCCAACAAGGGCAAACCGTTCCCCGGCTACATCGACCCCAATTCCCTGGTGGTGCAGGGCGAGTATGTGTTTGTCCAGGTGAGTAATAAACGGAGGTGACACGGCAGGGGGAATAGAGCCATGGCCCACAGTGAAAAGGGGCAGCGGAGGCACTAGACGCCACTTAAACCAACAACGCAAAGATTGGATTCATGAGCAGACGGAATTGTTTTGTTTTATTTTTTGTTTTTCCGCTGGTTAGCATTATTTGCCGGTGTAGATTTCTGTATTTTTCCAACACCTTACATCGCTTCTAACTATAAAGCACATACAGTGTTGGGCTAAATTGGTGAGGAAATGCAATGTGACAAAGTGACTGAGCAATTTCAACCTGATAAATTGTATCTAGCACCTGTGCAGCTAGCGCTAGCAGCATTTACGGCACCTGTACCGGTCGCTAAATTGTCACCTGGTCTAAAAGTGCCCTTTATAGTTTTTTTTCCCTTCCCTTTCTGTTTGTGGCTGTCTCCATTACTCAAGGTGTCAACGGGCGGCCGGCCAATCTACTACGTGTCATCAAGACGAGACCTGTTCACACCCATGAAGCTGCCCAAGTACACCCTTCCAAAGGTAACTTGTTCTGTTTGACGGCAAGCTGAAACGCTGTAAACGTAAACATACATCACTCTATCAGCCTTGGCTCTTGTTCCATCCACGATACTAGCTTTTGAAGTTGTGAGTCTTCTAATAAACCCCATCATATGACTGACAGACTTTCTTTCATGCTTACAAACAAGTAAATATAAGGGACGCGTATCCTCAGCTAGCGCCACATTATTAATTTAAACTTAAAATGATATCCCCCTCGTCTCACCCCTCGCTCTCTTTGTCTCCTATGACAATTAAACATGTTTTATTCAATCAGGCCTCCGGTACCCTGGGCTCCTTAAAGCGCCTTCCCAGCGACGCCCGCGCAGTCTGAGGTAGATGAAATTCGCAAATTGTCAGCGTGTGTTTTCGATGCTAGCCAAGGCTGACAAGCTCAATTTAAAGCTAAAAATAATATTAGTCCTGCGCCTGAGCCGAGAGGGGCGGGCAAAAATGAGGCCCGATAGTGATTATTAATCTGATTCAGCGCAGCGGGGAGGGATCGTCCCAGCTCTCCAGCCATCCCATTCACTCCAGGCCACCGCATTCATATTCACCCCACTTGATTGCGGATGAAAATCAGATTAAAGTTTCCAGTCCCACCCCCCACCCTCCCTGATGTATGTAAATTTGGTGAAAGGCAGATAAATAAATAAATAAACACAAAGAAGGTGTATTTGCAGATTGTCTTCTTGAAACATGTAGACACATTCAAGTTGTTTAGAGTTTGACCTACTTTGCCGGTTTCATGATATTTCAAGTTGAGCTTTCATCAAGTTGAGCTTGTTTAAAGTCGTAAATCAAACTGTCAGCGTCTCTGTAAACGGTTTATTAATGGAGCGCTGTGGCATTTGATCAAGGGACTGAGACATTGCCCTGTTTCCTTTATAATGTCTTGGTATTAATAGACATAATTTCTGTCAACATTTTGCCTTTATCATAATTAACAGAAAAGACCTCCATTTTGGCACGTACTTAAAATTCAGGCAAGCGTTCGTGTCAGTGCGTCTTCACAGTTCATGAAAGCTTCATGACACACCAGCTTATTAGAACCAGAATAAGTCCCAGCCACAAAAATAGCTGCATATAACCATAAAAAGCCTAAATCCATTGTTGATATTTTGATATGTATGTATATATTACATATATTTCAATATCTATATATATATCAAGTGTATATATCTCAAAATGCTGTATGCCAACAATTTTTTTTTATATATCGCTCCTGTCGGAACAAAACTTAGCTCTCCCAAATGAGGAGGAGTAAAGAACTTTACTTTTAGTGTAATGACCTTATTTTAAGTCATTTTGGGCCACTTCTTTTGGTCCATTCATTATGAAATGCACACACAATGTAAAGGGCAACAGGCCTTTTTATGAAAAGTAACTGAACTATGAAATAACTCAAATTATTTAAAAAAACTGAAAAATTCCAAAAATGTTGATATGAGGTTTTCTTCAGACACCAACCATGTATATATCCCAGTCTCATATATTGCTGCTGTCAGAACAAAACCTCTCCAAAATGTTAACTTTACAGGAGAAGGAAAAAAACATTCTTAAACAAAACGACAAAAATGGAGATACGAGGACTATATACACACACACACACACACACACACACACACACACACACACACACACAGTGGCCCAAAAGTGAAAGCTAGTCAATCTATTTTGCATTCTTTTGTAATTTAATGCAATTTCTTACATTACAAATAATATTATCAGCAGAACAATCTGAGTAAAAAGTAGTATCTTTGAAATATTTACAGGACTTTTACGATTTTATAGTATTTGTCCCTCTTTTGTTTTAATGACAGCATGCCCTTGAGCTGCCATGGGCTCTGATCACTGACAGTGACAGAAGCCTCTGATGCAAACACAATTGATTGAAAGAGAAATAATTAATATGAATTTGAAATGTGCTTTTTATTGCCAAGAATAACTGCTATTTCTCAGGGTCAAACAAGTAATTTAAAGCTGCTAACAAGGAATGAAAGTGAACAGCATGCAGCTAGGCACCATGCTGATTGTTTATGTGACCAAATTTGGGGATACTCCAATATGGGAATTTTTGTCAATGTTGATATCCAGTATTTTTAATATACATCTGATGCAGATGCGTACATCTTGCTGATTTTGAAGCGGTTATCTGATATTATTGGGCATCTATAATACAGTTACATAATGCCCCTGTTATTATGATGTCTAAAGGTTAAACTTTAGCTCAGAATATGATCTAGGATAGCCACAAAAGTCAACTCATCAATGACATTGGCCTTAAAGACCATACCTACACCTTTTTTACCAGGACCTGCATGTGATCAGCACGGATGAGAACCGGGTGGTGGCTGCGGTCCAGGAGTGGAACCAGAATGACACCTATAACCTGTACGTCTCTGAGGCTGGAGGAGTCTACTACACCCTCGCTCTGGAGAACGTCATGAGCAGCATGGGACCAGAGGGCAACGTCATGATCGACCTGTATGAGGTATTTGTCAAAGGCAATACTTCATTCTTTAATATCCAGATCTGTGATTCTGACTAACATACCAAGATCAAAGTTCTTTTGCTTTATTTTTTTTTTTAAGTTTTGATAGTTTAGTAAGATTTTTTGAAAAAATATAATACTTCAGTATTATACTTTCAGTATCAGTCAGAATGTTGGACACTTGATTGAATGCATTCTTTTACAGTCTTTTACAGAAACTTGGAGATGACGATGGACAAAGATTACATGCTTAAAATGTGTTTCTCAAATAAATATTATAGTTAGTATTGTCACCCAGCCAGAAGTTCCTGGATTGTCCAGGCTTTTGGTTGACTGTCCAGGAAAAAAAAACATTCTCTCCATTACTTGTATCTGTATTATAAATCCAAGCTATTCATTTGTTAGCATCAAGAAATTAAATTTGTCAATATTTAATGTGTCCACCCTTTATTACAGCTTCAGCTACAGTGTTGAGTTGTCTTCTCACAGTGGACGGATGGACAGAAACACCTGTGGATTTTTTCAGATCTGAAGCAAGAGTGGAGCTTGATTTTCTCTTCCATCTCAAAGATAAATATACTGTTAATCTGATGGTGACAGTTTTGGTGGTCTGCCAGGTCTTGTTAGGAGTCCCATTTTCCGTGTACCTTTGAAACATATATTTTTTTCAGTTATGGAAAATGTTTTACTCATTTTTATTTGCATTTCCATGTCCTTCTGCAAGTGGATTAAATATTTGAAATTTGTTTTTTTTTCTAAATATAGGTAGGGTTGCGACTCATCCAGGATTTCCTGGATTGTCCAGGTTTTTAGTTGCCTGTCCAGGAAAAATTAATTTTCATATGGCATTGTTTCCTATGATGTTTGAACTGCCTCTTTTTATCCAGTGAAACCTTTTGCAGGCAAAGTTTCATTATTCAGACTACCTTCAAAGTAGGGACAGTTGTTTGGGAAAGGTGCACTGGTGAAATGTTTAAGCAATAGGCAGTCCTTCAACATAATAACTTAGAAGATTGCCTCCTGTAGCTGAACTGTCATCTGTCTAGCTTAGACTGCATCATGAGCACAGCTACCTGTCCACTGAATTTAATAAAATAAAAATCAAGCCACTGATCGAGTGTCCAGGAATTTCACAGGGCTCAGGTGGCAACCCTAATCAAGGGCCCATACCATGGAAATCTGTTTTTTTATTGTATTATTATTATTATTATTATTATTATTATTATTATAAAAACGGGTTTGATGTAGTATGTAATTGTTTAAAAAAAAACAAAACAGTACACACATCCACCTATTCAGCCTACAACAGTTTAGCTCCACCCATGTGCAATGAAAAACTGCGTTTTGATTGGCACAACACAGGGCAGTCCGTCAGAACAGAGCTCACTGTGCCTCACACAGATAGTAGTCTAGCCTGAAATACTCATTTTTTCAGTGTGAATGGGTGGAGATATACTGCTATAGGCTAAATAGGCGAATGTGTAAATGTGTTTCAGCCTGGACTGCTTCTTGAATGAGGCACAATACGGGGCAGCCAATCAGAACAAAGCTTATTTACATACACTATATGGACAGACGTATTGGGACACCTACACATTACACCTACAGGAGCTTTTATTACATTTCATTCTAAATTCATAGGGATTAATATGGAGTTTGTTCCCCCTCTATGTAACAGCTTCTACCTTTCTGGAGGCAGAAAAGGTAGAAGCTGTTAGAACAGAAAAAGGCCTTCCCCAAACTGTTCCCACAAAGTTGGAAGCATACGATTGTGCATTATCCACTACATAGCATTATCCCTCCTCCACCAAACTTTACAGCTGGCACATTGCAGTCAGGCGGGTAATGTTTCTTGGCATTCGCCAAATCCAGACTCGTCCTTCAGACTAGCAGATAGAGAAGCATGATTTATTACTCCATAGAACACGTTTCCACTGCTCCAGAGTCCAGTGGCGGTGTGCTTTACACCACTCCATCCGACGCTTGGCATTGTGCTCGGTGATGTAAGGCTTGAATGCATCTGCTCAACCATGGAAACCAATGCCATGAAGCTTCAGACACACAGTTTTTGTGCTGATGTTAATGCCAGAGGAGGTTTGGAACTCTGCAGTTATTCATTCAGCAGCGCTTTTGTGACTTTCATGCTCCTCTTTAGAACAACCCATTCTTTCACAAATGTTTGTAAAGTCAGACTGCATGGCTAGGTGCTTGATTTTATACACCTGTGGCAATGGGCCTGAATGAAACAACTGAATTCAATAATGATGAGGTGCATCCCAATACGTTTGTCCATATAATGTATATGAATTCTTAAAAGTTTAGTAAAAAAACAGCCTGTTTTATTTTAAGGAATAAAGAGAAGTTATATAATTGTCATTTGCTAACAGACACATAAACCCACAAACATTTCATCAGTGAACTTGATGAGAATCAGGATGTGGGCCTTTAATAGTAAACGGTAATGCTTATGTATGAATATATTACCATAACCAAAATCTAGAACAATTTTTGAAATATCTAGCCCAAGTATTTTTCAGAAGTCTACCAGGTCTTAGCATATGTGTAGCTTCTTCAAGCTTTTTGGAAAAAGCATTCCAGGTGGCTCCTGATGCTTTTTCAACAGCATTTGGTCACTAAATCTTTCCATATGCGTAATTACATACTTCTGACAACCTCATTGTAGAGAGATGAGAAGGAAAAGCCTTATATGAGTAGTAACGTTTATGAGTCCAAACGTTTGACTGGTACATGATACACTTGCATGACAGGACAGCTACAGGAGTTTTTCTCTCCAAAACTGCAGTCCTTTTTCCTTTTACGTCGCTGTTTTCAGATCTATTATTCAAAGTGCTTGACCTTTTTGCTATTTAGCTCTGATCAATCTTTCAGAACATGCTGTTCTGCTGAACAAGTTCAATTCTGCGCAGCTCGAGAGCAGATACCTTTAGCTAAAGCAGTGCCAAAGGAATGCTGCTACTTCAGACAGCTTTGTAAAAATACGGAGATAGAAAATGCTGACACAATCTGGCAGCACTGATACAAACTTGGAATAGACTTTACCTCTTCTCTGGAACGCCTTGTTTCTCTGGAACATCCGTTCATCTCTATTACTGGAATACTTCTACATCTACATTACCCACGTCTGCAGCACATGCTCGATTAATAGTTATTAGACAATAATTTCCCTGTGCTTAGAAGAGAACAGAAAACCTCTGACGCAAAACATACAGGACTGTACAAAAGTCAGAGACCACCCTTCATTCATTTAATTTCTGGTCACATCGGCCGTTGTGTACCGTTTATTTATTTTTAGATAAGCTTCCATTTTTTCATGACCTTTCAGTGTTTTAAAATCTGCAGGGATATTTTTCTACACCTCCAAAGTTCAGTCTTAGAAGTTGGTTAATCATTTTCTGATGTTCATGATCCAAGTAATCCTAAATGCATTCAGTGATGTTGAGGTCTGCACTCTAGGGTGGTCAGTCCATTTTGTTTTCTTTTTTTTTCTGTTTTATTCCACTCTGTTACCAAGAGTGGAGCTTGATTTTTCTCCTGTCTCTCCAAGATAAAGATACTTTTTATCGGATGGTGACAGCTTTGGTGATCTAGCAGGTCTTTCACGGTTGTTAGGAGTTCTGTTTCTATGTATCTTTCAGTAATTTGTTTAATTAAAGTTTTGGAAATATTTTCTCACATATTTTCCTCTGACTTTGTCCTTCCTTATGTAAGTAAAATATGTTTTATATCTAATCTCTTCAGAAATATCTCCAGTAAAAAATGTCTAACTTGTATTGTTACTTGACCCTTATGTGGCATTGGGGTCTGTGGGACCCATTTTCAATGTTTACCAAAAGAAAAAAAATATGTGATTTATTATTATTTCAACCTCAGATTGCTTGGCCTTTGCTCATTTACTGTGAAGAACATATAAAATAACACATTTTCAATGACCACCAGACCACTGAGTAACAAAAACACAAACACTACACAGGGGTTAAACCAATTTGGGGTGGTCTCTTATTTTTACAAAGTACTGTACTGTTTTATAGGTGTTTCAGCACCGGCCCAGTGGCTTCCATTAAAAGCGTCTGTCAAGTCTGCGAGTTGTCTGTGCATGGAAGCATATTTAAATTACTCTCCGTGGTAACCGTCCATATTCTACAGATGCAGCAGGTAGAGATCAGTTTGAAAAATGCTGGAGATTTCCAATTCAGTGGGGGGCTGCACACAGACACACAAAGTAGACTCAGATGCATTCCAGCCTAGGCTACCGGTGTCAGGCTATCACCCAATCAGATAATTAAGCTGTTGATGATAGCATCCACCCACCCACCGTCCCCCACCTGTAAACTTGCATTTGGCCTGAGGAGAGGCTGAGGAATCCGGTGGCTTGATTGAGGTCGCCACCCTTATGTCGCATATGCTAAAAAATCTCTGCCTCCAGCCAGATTGAAGTACTCCTCAATTATTGAACAGAGGGAGCTGAACGGAAGCACTTTCTTGCATTTCTCTGCTTCTGCCTGGCCCTGCGGACGACTCCTATCAGTTTGTGCTCTACAGAGGCGTGGATTTACTCCATCTGTTATTTCTCTGCTGATAGAGCTATTGGACATGCTTTCCATATATACTATACCTCCAACAGTTAGTAGACACCTGCTCATCCAACAGTTCTTCTAAAAATCAAGGGTATTAATATAGAGTTTGTCCCCCTTTGCTGAACTCACAGTGTCTACTCTTCTGGGAAGGCTTCAAACTAGATTGGAATATTGCTGTGAGGATTTGATAGCATTCAGCTACAAGAGCATAACTGAGGTCATGTACTGATGTTGAATGATTGGTTCTGGATCACAAACTCCACTTGAACTCATCATAAAGTATTGGATAGAGCTCTATCACTCCAGAGAACATAATTCCACTGCTCCACAGCCCAGTGCTGGGGGCTTTATAGACCCCAAACTGACGCTCGGCATTGGGCGTGGGGACCTTAGGCTCGTGTGGGTGCTCCACAGTGTCCCATTCTATTGACAGTGCTTTCCTATAGAGATTTCTATGCAGTTAAACACCTCTGTAATGGATGCTTCATAAATTAGCTGAATTTACTAATTATAGGGGGCGCTTGGACATTTGGGCATCCAGTGTACGTGAGAGACCATATTAGATGTTGCCAGGTGGTATATTCAACAAGAGGAGTAATAAGTAGCATATAGTTTTCTGCATTTTAGATTAAGATCAGAGACAAAAGTTGTTCCCAAAGGTGACATTGTGTTCCCCTCCGCTACCATTGCTCACAAAAGCAACTACCCTTAGACGCTTCAGCTGCCCTGCAAATTTCTTTCTCATCTGCATCTCAAATGGCTAAAGGAGATATTTGAAAGGAAATTAGATATAAGATAATCCACTTGCCCAAGAAAGGGGAAATTCAAAGTAAAATACGTGAAAAACGGGAGTTTCCCAAACTAGAGCTTAGTTAGATAGAAAGAAAATGGGATTCCTAACAACTATATAAGACCTGGTAGACCACCAGAACTGTCACCATCAGATAAACAGAGCTTAAAGCTTTCATCTTCGAGAGAGAGGAGAAAATCAAGCTCCACTCTTACTTCAGATCTGAAAACATCCACGTGTTTCTGTTCATCCTTCCACTGTAAGAAGACAGCTTAACACTATTGTTACTGAGAAAAGGAATAGACAAAAAAGAAGCAAATCAAATAAAGAAGCTGCTGTTGTTCAGACCTCAACATCGTTGAATATGTTTGGGATCATTTGAATTGAAAAAGGCAGAAAATGCAACCAACTTCTAAGACTGAACTTTAGAGGTGTGAAAAAATATCCCTGCAGATTTCTTTGAAAAATTGAAGGCAGGTCTCTCAAAAAGAGTGGAAGCAGTAATAAAGGCAAAAGGTGGAAACACTAAATACTCATCAACATATGATAGAACTAATACGGATTCTGAATATTAAGTTTAAGGGTTAAAGGAATATTCCAGCATTTGTCAACCTAATCTCTGTCTACCATATCTGGGCACCTTCAGCAGTTGTCTTCTATTATAATTGTTTAAGTCAGCATGGTTTAAGCTCTTTTCTAAGTACAGGGAAACACAACAAAAGGAATATATATATGTAATACATATGTAATAATATGTGGTAATGTGCCACAGGTACAGCTGATGGAGATTAGGTTAAGAAATGCTGGGGTTTTAAGGTTAATGCACAATTGGTGGATTTTGAGGGTTTTTTTTTAGTGCTTTTTATAATCTGTCATTGTTGTTCTTTGGCATCCTAGGTGGCAGGAATCAAGGGAATGTTTCTGGCCAACAAGAAGATTGAGGAGCAAGTGAAGACATATATTACATATAATAAAGGCAGAGACTGGAGGCTGCTGCAGGCGCCCTCTTCTGACCTGCAGGGGAACAGCATCCACTGCATATTGGTAAGAGAAACAGAGAGAGAGATGAGGGGGGGGGAGTGGAGAGAGACTAGGGAAAGAGAAGAAAAAGAGAGTGATAATGAGAGCATGAAGGAGAGCACTTGTCAAATGCCTCCTGTCTAAAATGTGTCTAATACAGTCTGAGCTAAGCATCAGAAAGAGCAACGCTCATCAGGTCTGCTCATCAAAGTTGAATGTGATGGAACAAACCCTGCAGTAAAAGGTCAGGTGACAGACAGTAATGAGTTGACCACACTCTCCAAGGAGATCGGCAGTCAGAGCACTGGCATTTGCCTCTCAATCATTATTGCACACTTTTAATTTGTTCACGAGTCTGCTTAAAAAAGAGGATGTATTTATATGCTGCATATCATCACTGTCAAACCTCGTACCTTCTGTCTTCTGTTCATTTTTTCTTCATTGTGTACACATTTCATGAAGAGTGGGCCGAAAGAAAATGATCCAGTTACGTTAACATGCATTAAATTTAAAGAACAGCTTCAGCATTTTTAACCTAACCTGTATCTACAGGATCTATATCATGCAGTTTGCAGTATGTATGCAGTAAAATTCAATACAATAATAATTAAATTATTTTAAAATTGTAAACCAATTCAAATTATTGACACTTTTACTACTTTTATGAAACTACATGCTTTTATGCACAGTCTGATGGGAAACAGATTTTTCTTGATCAAGCTAAATGTTATGAAGCCAGCAAATCTGGGGACAACCATTATAAATTTTTGGCTATATGTTGGTGGGAACGTAGACTTCAGTTCAAATTTCTAAACCAATCCAAAAAATTAAGCATGTAGATGTGCGTCACATGTTCAGAAATGTGTGTCACGTGTCCAGTGTTTTGCTTGTGTTATTAATTGTACTTCGGAGGACAAATGTGCACAGACTACAGGAATTTGGGGTGGGTTTTAGAAGGGGCATACCCAAAATACAGTTCGAACTCCCCCAGCATTTTGTGGATTTTCTAGGTTTTTAGTGTATGATTTCAGTTTATTTGCTGAGTTTTGGAAAATGTTTAAGAAAAATAGCAAAATTAAATATAAAACGTGCCAGGCCACATTTTATGTTTTCTCATTATGTTCAATTCAGCAAATAAACAGTAAATGTGTGTTAAAGTGTGCAGAAGTGTGTAGAGGATGCGTAAATGTGTGATTTGACTGGGACGGCCAAACATTTGCATTTGTAAGTCTTTAAATGAGCTTTAAATGACCCTCCTGTCAAATTTGGACAGGTAGGATTAGCACACTCAGGCGAAATGAACAAAAGCATATGTCTATTGATCTTTAATCCAGGCCTTTCTAGCACCTTAGGCTGATTGTTTTTATAATGAGACTGAAGCTGTAGCGATGCTGAAGCATTATTTATTTTGCTTGGGTAAATATTACTAACGGCAGTCTGTTGCTGCAACAAAGTAGCACTCATCCGCTCCACTCGACGCTGGCGTGAAAATAATTACCCTTTGATAAATTTGACTAATTAATGGTCTCACATCCGGCCTCGCCTTCAGCCCCCATTATAGAGTTATTTGTCAGAAAATGTCAAAGTTTTAATAAACCCCCTAAACAGCCCGCACAACATGTGCTTACCATTGGCATTTGCAGACTTATAATGAGAATTGTGCCGCTAAAGGTTACTCCAATCAAAATTAATGTTGGGACGCAACTGGTGGGGAGCGTGTACTGTTGTGGGATTTGTAATTAGGGGCTTTATGTTAGCCTAAGCCGCTGCCCGTAGGGTGACAGTTTAGTTGAAGCTGCTTAAATGGATTTTTCCTATTGATTTAGACACTGAAAGTGATTTAAATGATTTTTGTTTGTATGTGTGTGTTGATTGTAGCCATACTGCTCGTTGCATTTGCACCTACATGTATCAGCAAACCCCTACACGTCCGGAAACATAGCCAGCAAGGAGTCGGCACCTGGAATCATAGTGGCGTCAGGTGAGTGGCTCTGTTTCTCTTGCAATATTCAAACTTCAAAGAGCTTAATCTTGTACGGATGATACGGAGCGTGTAGAAAAGCAGCTAAGGTGCCTCAGAGTTCACCGTGAAGTTCATTTCATAGGGCGCACGTGACAAAACTCAGCTTAGCACTGTAGAGATGCTGTACATTCCCCAAAAATGCACATTTTTTGTCACTGTTTAACCCACTTTGTGTCAGGCCACAAGAACATAGCATACACTCTTAAAAAAGAAGGTTATTCAAGAGTTTAGTAAACTCTGTATAGAATCCTACACATCTGAAGAACCATTTGCAGGATTAAATGGTTCTTTAAATGATGAGATTGTTCTTCAGATTGATGGAGAATGTGTTGTGAATGGTTCTAAATAGCACCGAAAATGGTTCTTCCATTGTTAAAAGCTTTGACATCAACAACAGCAGAGCTCTTTTTGGTGCAATATATAGCACCTTAAACAACACATTCTCCATCAATCTGAAGAGACATTTCATCATTTAACGAACCGTTTAATCATGCAAATGGTTCTTTGTGTGTTTATGGTTATATACAGAATCATTGGCTTACTAAAGAACCCTTGAAGAACCATCTTTTTAAGAGTGTACTTCTGATATAGACTGTACAGTTAGAACACATTGTTGTGTTAAAAATCAATAGTTACAGTCCCAGAATCTGGTTGGCTGAGTCACATTTAAAGCCAGTGTAAAATACTTAACTGAACAATTCAATTCTGTATTAACTTCTTAAGGTCGACATAAAATGAGGCTGTGTGTGACACAGTTAGCTTGGTGTTAACATAAGGCAATCACTAGATCACTCTGGCAGAATAGAGTGTTATCAGTGCAGTGGTAGTATGATAAAAGAAGAGAACTTATAAGGTGAAGATTTCTGCAATAAACACTGCTGTGTTATGTCACTAGAATGACTGCAGTATACAGTGGTACAGTGCAGGGTGTCTTGACAACAATAGCCGACTCTAAACAAACTACATTTCTTGGTAAATAAATAGTTTACTGCAATTATTATTACTAATAATTTAAAATTATGTATTGAGCATTTGTGTGTTTATTATTTTGTACTTTGTCACTGTTTTATAAAAGCAATAAATGGAGACATTGTGTAAGTAATTTAATCACATGCAAGGAAGTATTTAACCAGCACCACTTACCTGTGATAAAACTACTGTAAAGCATGTACAAATGATTGTAATAAAAGTAACACTGGATGTGTTGTTCTTAACTGTTGAGTCTTGGCTGTGCCATGTGCCATCCATGAGGTCCTCAAAGATGTAGTCGTCTCAAAAATTGGCTGTAGGACATAACGTTTTGGTGCACATTAGTATAATTTATTTAATTTAATGTAATTAGTTAATTCCAGAGGTGGGTAGAGCAACCTAAAGACATATTCTAGAAAATGTATTGTTACTTTTGTGAAAGAAAGATTTAAGGAAAAGTAAAAGCAGCCATCGAAAAACAGGTTAAGCACATGCACAACAGTACCAGGTCAAAAAAGTACTGAGTTCCCTAAAACTGCAGTGGAACTTCTGCTGACATCAGCAGAGCAACAGAAGTCTTTTAGGGTCTATTCTGCACTCTTGGTCTGAAATAAAATTCGAAAGCTCCAGAGTCTGCGGCGTGTGCAGTCACAAAGCAGTACAGATGTTCTCACCATCATAACTATAAAATAGAACTGCTTGCATAGAAGTAAATATGTAATCATTTCAAAAAACACTCTACAAACTCTACTTCTAACCCATCAGAATTGTATCTGAGTGCTTGTAAGTGAGTGAATGTAAGTAGTTACTACCTACCTTTGAGTAATTCCCAAATTATATCTCAGTGGAAACATTTTAGGTTTGTTAAAAGTGGATAATTTCTTGATTGCTCAATGCTGTTGCATATCAGTGTAATTCATTATGGTTTGGCACGTAAATTAAATAAAATAAATAAATAAATAAAAACCAGAGACAGGGCTGTGGTTAACTGTGTCCAGGCAATATAAAGAGTATTAAGACAGAATTTACTATTCCCCCATGCACATACGTACACTTCAGTCCGAATATAACGATCGTACAAGGGGTCAATTACAGTAAGTCCCTTTAGCCTGTGTATAATGTTGTATTTGAACTATAAAATATCCAGTGTGTCATCTGCACGGTCATGTGGTCAAGTGGAGCTCTTAACGTCTTCCACACTGCTGCAAGTACAGAAGTGGTGATAGGCTTCAAACACACTATATGTTTCAAGCTTCTCCCACTCAGAGTGTGCATCACTTACAGGCTCTCTGTATCGGTTTTTGGCTGTGTGTATGTTATTTTTTTCCCTGGTTTACAAGAATTAAACACTATTAGTTCGTATTTGTAATTTCAGAAAATATCACAGCAATGTTCACCCTTTCACAGTAATTCCTTAATATGTTTACTGCCTTGTGATTTGATCACTACTTGTCAAATATGAGACATTCGGGATGTTAACGTCATTCTCAATGCTATACAGCTTTTGCAATCATTTATAGAATAATCTACAGCTCTGTTCATAATTGTGGACACATCTAATGTTTCCTACAAATTAGTTGAAACTTATATAGTTATAGAACAGTAGCATCTTAGTAGAATCATTGTATACACTTGTCTCTAATCAGAATGAATAACAATAAATAAAAGAAATGATTCCAAATGTATAAATGGTAGTGTAAGTTCTTTCTGCATAGTTTGTTGACTAGTCTAACATAGCCAAGAAATGCTGATTCTGCTTGAACAATTTCTCACCTATCGTAGCCACCTGGCCACAGTACTTTAGCAAGTACTAATGTTTGGATGACTGGACAAATTCTTGCTTGCGTTAGTGACTAACGCTCCTGTCACCATGGTTACCGTAGTCACTCACAGCTAAATACTTTTCCCTTCATAATCTGAAAATATCCGACCTCTGCCAGAAAATAAAAGCTTAAACAGTGGGGTGGGGGGGCGGCTACTCTCATGGGGGTTGTGGACATGTCAGCCCACTGTCAGTCATTGTGTGATCTGAAACATCCACACAGTCTTGATCAGGTAGAGCAGTTTAGTTTTTCTAGTTTTTATCCTTAATTAAATTATAGTTTAGGGGTTTCTTCAAATCAGAATTTGGTAAATGATCAATTCACCTTTAGGATCATTGAAAGTTTTACTATTTGCAATTGAGCTGACAGCCCTTTTAAAGCCTAACCACACATATATTAAGGAAAAGAATATCACAGATGGAAACATTTGTGATTGTTTATTTTCTCAAAATAAACATTAAGTTTTAATATTCCAGGTTGATTTTAGGGCTGTTTTTTGTAGTGAACTGTCAGTTCTCTCTCTCTCAAGGGTCTACATCCTGAGTAGAAAACAGGCTTAAGACTAATCAGAAAGCACCGCTAACATAGTCCTCAGAGAGAACTAAACAAAGGAGTCTAATTTGGAGAAAATCATTGCTTGATTTCTAAACAGTTTAATTTCAGCACCTCAGCATGTCTAACAGAGAGCCCAACACCAAAGCACTGAATACATTGGTTACTCTGAGGTTAAGCTCATGTTATCTCTCTCTCTCTCTCTCTCTCTTCTCTCTCTCTCTCTCCTCATCATAGGCTTTTATGACACTGCTATTGTTGAAAATGTTCATGTTGAGTGTGCAGCTACCCGCTCGGAATATGGCCTATAAACAAGATTAACACGGAGTTAGCATAAACAAGCAGATCTGCTAAGTGCTGCTCTTTGTGAAAGAGTCTTTAGAGTGCTCTCAGTCTCTTCCTCCGTTGTCTTCCGTTTTCCCATCCAGCTGCTTTCTCTTTTCCGCTCCTAACTGCAAATGTTTATTTTGCAAGATTGAAAGCACTTGTCACTTTTTTATATGACCTCCACAGCTGTGTGTCTTCCACAATATTCAAAGACGATATTGCCTCACAGACGAGCGCAGATAAAATATAAATGTCTTGGCACGGCAACTTTCTAGATAAGTAATCCTCAGTGGAGAGTCTATTAGATATTAGCCTACTTGCCACACTGACGTCAACTTGATTGATTTGATCGTTCTCTAGTCCCTCGTCATGAGGGACGGCAGATGTAACTTATTTAAGATTTTGCCTAAAGTTCTGCAGTGGCAGAAAAAGTCTGCCATGAACTTGGCAAGGGGGGAACATTCTCTTTGTCTAACTTTGTCTTCACAAATTCCCATTTCTATGAGTAATACAGAGCTATAAAGCTTCAGCTTGAGAGATCTTTTTATTCGCTGCAAAGAGATTGCAATAACTTGCACTCTTATGGCCTCACTTTTAACTTCATAGCTAGCTTTACGTAGTCCCACTTTCAGAATGATGTAAATCTCTTTGCACAGTGCTGCACAGTGCTGCACAGTGCTGCACAGTGCCATGTTCCTTACAAGGTACAGGTTCCAGGGCCGTATAGCATGACTGACCCTCTATGTAAAATTTAGTCTCGTTTCTGCGACAGTTTAGCTTTTCTTATTGAGTAACACTTATCGGTTTTAACCACTCAATGCTAAGTATCTATCAATAAGCAGGTACAACGCTCACTGATAGATACTTCTGCAGGTACAATGAGTACACGTTAAGAGAGTCTTTTCTAATATCTGAATGGTACAGTACCAGTCACCTACTTATAGATGGGTTTACCTCTATTTTTTTTACATCATATCTATGAAATAACACAACATTTCTACAATCAAGAATTGGATTTCTGCTAAATAATATTTAGACCTACCCCAATTACGACACAGTTGACTGGCTCAACATATAAACAAGAACAGACATGGCTTTAACTCTTAGACGTCTACAGTCATTATTGTGACTTGCTACACTGTTTAAATGTAATTACATGATTAATTATGCAGTTATAGAGATAGCAAGTCCCTGGTGATGTCACAGCCATCTGTAGCCAGGAATCCAAGAGAGCATAATTCGTCATTCTCTCTGGCCAATGATCCCCATTCTCTCCATCAGTGTAACATCTTACACAATAGAATTGGCAGTTAGTGTTCTCCTCTAAGCGTGTTCAGCTGTCAAATAATGGCGTAATAGTAGATGTTCGAAAAGATGTGGTGGCACGTCACATGTCTCGGGAGAAACATGCCAGCCTTCATCCTTTCAACTTGGTAGCATTGTATGATTGGGGTAGACCCAGCTACACTGTTAGAAATAAAGGTTCTGTCCAGGTACATTTTTCGTCCATCAAGATGCAAACAATGTAAATGTTCCTTCAAAGGTACAACAGTGGTTTTAAGATCCAATTGTGTACCTTAAATAAGTTTTTCCAGGGTGAGTGGAGTCAGTACAGCTTAGAAAATGATGTTCCCTGACTAAAGGTACTGAGATGTACCCTCGAGTGTACCACCCCAGTGACAAGAGGGGTGCTGCCCCAGTGAGAGTTCCATACCTTTGTTTCTGATAGTGTAGTGGGTAGAATTAATTGACTAAAAATCATAAAAAAGATACTTGTTTTTGTGATTGCCAGTGATATTTTGAACTCCTAATGATTCATGAAGCACACATGCTAAGATATGATGATTTGATATATGATTTAGAATGATATGATGATTGTGGTCGTCATCTTCTAACACAAAAGTTGAAAATCAAAATATTTTTCAAATTGTAAATGTTTGTCTTGGAAATACATTCATACCACAGTATCAACATCACCGTTTATATCTATCCTGAAAACATATGTATGTTGTTTATTGTAAGCAATTACATTAAGGTCAAAATGTTTTTATGTCAGTCAGTCAAGTGTGTCCAGACTTTTGACAGGTACTGTATATTTGAGTAGACTGTAGATGCTAAATAAATGTATCCACTACACTTGCTACGCAAAGGAGCAGCCTTGCTACATCTGTGTGCTAGCACTTTTTACAAATGAGATGCAGTGATATCTAATTAGAGGGTGCCCCCGGATCCTTGAAGAATCTTGTAATAGATTTTTAAAATGTAATGTCATAAAAGGTCTGAAAATGTCTCGTTTTTATTAGAGATATTAAATTGAGAGACGTCCTTTGCTAGCATATTTTAATAGATCATTGTTTTTGCATTCTGCTTACTCTGCTGTCATAAAGGTGCTGTAAATGAACAATCTCCCACACTGAGGCACATTTTCTGAAGGTAACAAGTGGTAGAAATGTCTGCACTGTGGAACTATTTTAAGGTGAAAAATAAAAATGTGTAAAATCTGCAGTGTCAGTGTTTCCACTGTGTTTAAAGAAGCCACCTTGCAAACAACATGCACATAAAATGTGGGCACATGGCTGTACGCTTTCTGTGAGCTACATGCCACCAAAACCATGCAAAGTATACTTGCAATGTTTTTCATACGCAACACGTGACCGGTAAAAAACAAAACTATCTGCTGTTAGGAGAAATTGCACATTCTAACATATCCCTGCTGTCAGAGCAAAACCTTGTGTCTCCATTTTTGTCGTTTTTCAGTTTCTGACATACATTGAAATTACCTGTTGCTCTTTACATTGTTTGTAAATTTCATTATGAATGGACCAAAAGAAACGGCCCAAAATGACTTGGAAAAACGTCTGGTTCCATGTTTTTACCTTCTTCTGTGAAGTTATAATTTTGGAGATACATGGTTTTGTCCCAACAACAGCAATATACTATATTATGCTATATTATCTATGAAAACTCAATTTCAGCTACTATGTAACATTAAAGGACTCAGATTGGACTGAGGACCAAAAAAAAAATCAGTACATACCTGATTAAACTCTAAGATGATACCTAAAGACCAGGTTAAAATGAGTCACTGTGTATATTCAGCTAATTTAAAGTAGTCCACTATCCACAAATATCTAGCCAAAGTGTTCCTGTGGTCAGAAACTGACCAATGATGAAGGGCTAGAGGACAGCAGAACTGATAATTAAGTCAAACACACTGAAAAGACTGCAAGGATCGTGCAGTCACTATCAGTGTCGTCAACCAACCAGTTTGAATAAAACAGATGTTAACTGTTGTATTGTATGTCATATGTTGAGGTCTTACAAATAAAAAAAAAAAACTTTAAAATTGATTTTAAAGACTGTAAGCAACTCTGAATTAATGATTAATCTTATCTTCAACCATCCTTAAGCATAACCTCTTGACAGTTAGCATAACAACTTTCTTCATGTTTCTCATTACAGGTTCTATAGGTGCAGAGCTGACAACCAGTAATGTTAGCATGTTCATCACATCTGATGCTGGAAACACATGGAGGCAGGTAAGCCTGACACGGGCAGACCAAGACGGGAGTTAGTGGGGAGTAATTTCAATATTGATGCCATCTTCAAGTCCATAAATCCATGCGCTACACCCAAGAGCTGATAATCAAATGACACCTTATGAGCAAATTGGATTCAGTGGTATGCGCAGGGCCCGTGGGTGGCCCTTGCTTGTTTGATGGCAGGATTTAAATTTATGGGGGATGCTATCTAATTAAAAATGGTGGAGCGAAAATAATTAAGAGAAAATTGATGTGGCGAAAGTTAAAGCTTGCTGGGCGCAACGTTTCCGCCGTCTGATACGTTGTCAGGAAGAATTACGATGATTCTGATTTATGGAATAACGTTGTTTTAAGTGCGTTGGACCTGCAGTCTGAGTTCTAATCTAATCAGACTGAATGTCCTCCCTGAGGGAGAGAAAGAGATGGAATCGCATCATAACTCAACTCATCAACTGATCAACCGATCTCTCAGATGAATTCAACAAAGGGGCATATTAAACAACTTCACTAGGCTGTGTGAACAGAGGAGACGATGTGAAAGGCAAGCTACTGCGTATTCTGATTTAAAAACAGCAAGCCTGTTGGGATATACACTTGTTTTCATGGACAGACCCATATTAATTATGCTTTAAAAAGAAATGCTGATAGAAATTTTGTTTATTAAGTTCACATTAGAGTGGAGTTTCCCAAGAGAAGAACATCTCAATCTTAAATCTCTTTACGTAATGATGGTTTGATTGCTCACCTTAATGGACTGAATGGTATTAAATTGTCACTGATACCAATTTTTAGAAGCTATGAATTCCGATATGTGATAATATTGGCTCATATAATTAAATATGGTTAAACATTAAACCAACTCAAATAGTTAAACAATGCTTTAATGACTGATATGATTGACAGCTGTCAGCTGTGAACTGTCAGATATGATTGCTAAATCTCAAGTGTCCCAATTCTTAAACTAAAAAGGCAAAATAGTCTTAAATAACAAATATAGTACCATTGTTGGTGGAGCTTCCCAGAGTTCTTAGCAATTCTGTTGAATTCTGTTAATTAGATATAATTCTTATTTTTTATCAGCCAGTTGTGAAGTGATATATGGAGAAAATACTAACAATAGTAAACTAAGAAAAAAAAAGATACTTTAATTACTCTTAATTTACAAGCCAATTTCCAAAAAAGTTGGAATGCTGTGCAAAACGGAAATGAAAACAAAATGCAATGATGCGCAAATCATTTAAACATAATATTTATTTGAAAATAGCACAAAGAAAACATATCAAATGCTAAAACTGAGAAATGTTATTGTTATGTGAAAAATATATGCCAATTTTGAATTTGATGGTAGCAACGCTGATGTAGATGATAAAAGTCACGTTTTTTTTGCTATTTTACATTGAGAAACATTATTCTTAAATTGTTGCACTATTTGCCCAGAGTGGTGAACCCCTCCCTATCTTAACTTCTGAAAGAGCCTCTCTGTGATGCTCTTTTTCTACCCAGTGATGTCACTGACCTGTTGCCAATTAACCACCAGGTGTTTTTTTAAGCATTACACAACTTTACCAGTCTGTTTTTGAAATGTGTTGTGTCAAATGTGTCAACATTTGATATGTTGTCTTTGTACTATTTTCAGATAAATATAGGGTTTAAATGATTTGCGCATCATTGCATTTTGTTTTTATTTACATTTTGCACAGCATCCCAACTTTTTTGGAAATGGGGTTGTAATTTATTCTAAAAATCTATATTTAAAAAGTGTGTACGTATACACTAACTATATAATAATTATATCAGTGGTGTAATTTGTCATAGTTTTTGCCATCATTTAAGACTTTTTCATTTAGGTATCATTTAACATTTTAAACAGCAGACTTGCCGATTTTTTTCCCCCATCCACAAAATATAAATGTTCTGTCTGAGGCAGTGATCTTCTGAAGTTAGGAAAATATCATAGTGCTGCTGTCAGTGCTCACATAGCTCTTAAACAGAAAAATAGGAGTAGATCTGATTGGTTGTGTCTGCAGCATGCTTAACCAGGGCTTTTGATGAGAAGGTATCGGATATCGACTAAAATGGTGTGCAAATGAAAATATATTTAAGCGATGTTTATTAATAAGTTTGCAAGACCATAACTAAAGTGGAACTTATTTATTCATAAGCACTGCCTTACCCAGTAAGTGCTTACAAATAATATTTCTAGGTTAGAAACTGTTCAAAAAGGACTTTATAGCAAAATCTAATAAAATAAGATTGCTTACGAATTATGTTTCTGTTTGCTGAAGCATTATTAATTGCTCCAGCAAACAGCAAATGGATTTTTTTAATTATTTAGCGAAAACCAAACATGCGACAGGTCATGCCCTGCTTTAAAAGCATAAACATCAGATCAGCAGAATAATTCTGACTGTTGAAAAAGCATGAACCTGTTTCTTAGTAGATCCACCCAGCATAACCATCATGTGTTTGCATGTGTTTCAGATTTTTGATGAGGAATACAGCGTCCTATATCTGGACCAAGGTGGAGCACTGGTGGCTATCCGGCACACGCCCCTCCCCATCAGACACCTATGGTAACTCTGTCATACATATCTTTTTATGTCGTTTATCATCTTTTGTGCATATGCTGCTAGGTGAGTCAATTCAATCCCACGAAAGATACGTACAATGAACATGAACAGGAGAGTATGAATATTCTCATTAAACTCAGTGGGCTGTGTAATGCTCTCTATAGTAGCTCGACTTGTAATGCGCTAAAGTCATCTGACTGCTGCGACGCAGCTTTTTCAATTACTGTTGTAGTCAGGCGTGGCAGGGAAATGCAATTGTTTTTAAATTGTGGTACAAAATGAAAAAAGGTTCAGCAGTGTGTCTGACGTCGCAGAATTGTTTCTGCACAGGTTGAGTTTCGATGAGGGGAGAGTGTGGAATAAGTACAGTTTCACATCATCGCCGCTGTTTGTGGACGGAGTTCTGGGCGAGCCTGGCGAAGAAACACTCATTATGACGTACGTATCGAAACACACAGTTTTAACCTATGCAGGAGGGAAGATCCTTGAACCCTTAAATGTCTAGAGATAGTATTGTATTATTTCATTTTAATTATAACTAATTACAAAGTTTCTTAAGGAGTTTCCTTTACATTCAGTCTACCTTCTTTATTGACAAGATTACATATGTATGCCTGACTTTGCACACAACTTTTCATCATTTTCAGAGCATAATAAAATATCTCCTCTGTGACCTACCAATGTGGTATTGATAGAAAGTTTAGAATCAGCTGAATTTCTCTGCTTGTTTTAATGAGCCCTGTTATTGCTTGTGACTTCCAAGGGTTATAAATATTTCTGATGGGGTTCCTAAGTGGTGCAACTGGCTGTAAACGTGGCATGTTGTTGCCATTACTGCAGTTTTGAATCCCAGTGATAGCACTGATATTCTGAAAGTGCATGATTGGCCTTGTTCAGTAGGAGAAACTAGGTTGGAAAGTGAGAAAAACTGCTTAGTTTCTTTCTTTAGCTTTTTTTTTTCCTGTTTTGGAGATCAGTTCAATTATGCTATTTTCTTGTTCCTCAACAACATTGATGGAATATAGTTCAATGGAAATGTGTATGATTAAAAAAACCAAGAGCAAACTACATTTTTCTCTTCCTTTGTAAGAAGAGAAATTAACATTTTTTTTTAGTGTGTAAGTGTTTTATTGTGTTTAATACTCATTTTTTTATTGTTGCAATTGTACATGATTGATTTGAAGAAAGCTGCAAATGGGCTGTCTATTTTATCTCAGTATGACCATCTTTGTGTAGAGGTTTGAACTGTTTTTACAGCAGGGGGTTCTCCTCTCCTTTCACTCCTAATTGCTCACTAGCAACTCAACACTGTAACAATATTTAACACACAGAGAGCCAGCAGTGTCCTGTTTAATCTGATTATAGAGTTGTGGGGGGAAAAAGTATTGTATTGTATTAATTTAAGATTTTTGAGTTGAGTCAATGGCAGAATGGCCACTAGGGGGCCTGCAAAAAGAGTCTGTTAGGCATGTGGAGTGTTGTATTCAGTCTCTAATCAGTGGTGGTCGAATTTACCAAGTGTTGTAAGTGCAGTAGATCGGGTCAGACTGTGAAAGAATGTTCTCAGGCTGTATACTGATTTGAATTCAAATAAACATGAACAAGTATTGAAAATGTTTAGCATACAGCTGTAACAGTTATAGCATTTTTTAAATACTGTGTTAAAATAGATGGAGTGTAGTTGTTTGTAACCATTGTGGCTATGTTATTGTTGTTTTCAACCAGTGTAGTTTCAGTTAGCTAGAACAAAAGTCAAACTTAACAGCACCACATTTTAAACTGGTAACTCAGCGTTGTGAAGGCAAAACTAAACTAAAACATGAAATTCATTTTTTGAATGGTATCAATGTTCTGTAAAGTTTGTCTAACCTCCCAACAGTTGCTACAAAGGTAGGCATTTGTGGTGGAGCATGGATAAATCAATTGATGCAAAAAATATCTTCATGCTAAGCTTAGCTTAGCCTTTGAATTAGGGGCTATTTCTGTATGTCCCAAGAGACTTAGATGTATTTTAGTGTGAATCTTTGTGAACTTGTTCACATCTCAGTATCTGCAGTATGTATGCGTGTGCCTGTGTGTGTGTATAGCTGTGAAACATAGCACGACAGTTGCCTATCATCGGCTAGTTTTCCCTCACGAATAACAGAAGGCTTTTCTCAAGGTCTAGCCAAAGATCAAAACCAGCTGCTGCTGCATTTTGATCAGCTCAGATCAATGGGGGGCAAGCAAGCCGTGCATTCAGGCCTATTTCGGGCACTCCGAGTCAACGAGGGGAAAACCAGTAGAGACGAAGCGCTTGGAAGGCTGTGCTGGGAGGCAGAGACACCACCACGTATTTACAAATTCTTCATATAATGAGCTGTTAGTCTGCAGGCAGCATAAGCAAAAAGAGGCGCCTTTATTGAAATGCAGCAGCGTTTGTGTGGGAGTGTCACTGAAAAAGATATTAAAGTGCAATATCCGTTGATGTAGAGCGCTTTATGCAGCATCAGGCAAGGTTAAGCCTTAACATTTATTGATTTACCTCTCCCAGGTCCTCCATTGTGTGTACGACCTGAAACAGCTTTTACATTTTGTTTAATTATTTCTCACTCGTAGCTCAGTGAATCAGGTGAAGAGATTCTCAACTTTCAGCTGATACCACATTTGTGTTTGTGAGTATTTTATTATGATTTGATGAAAAGTTAATTCAATAATTCATTATAACTAATTATGCCGTTACTTCTTGTAGCCATACCAAAACCTGGTAACATTTTAAATTTCATTTTTTTTATACCATTTGAAAATGCCAGCTGTTACATTTCATGAAGAATGAAATGAAGAAGCTAGTCATATGCAAAAGTTTGGGTACCCTGGTCAAATGACATGTTTTGTAGATATTCTAAGTGAAAACAAGTTCAGGAAACACACTGCTGCACAACTACTGTTTATTTTGCTGAACATATTATAAAAATGCATAAATAAATGAATAAACAAAATGTGGCCTGTGCAAAAATGAAGTTTTATTAGATGTTAACATCAGCAAATAAATAGAAGTTGTGCACTAAAACCTAAAAATTGCAAAAGAAAAAAATGCCATGTTTAAGTTTGTCCTCTGAGGAAGGTTTGTTAAATTATTTTTGCTTTTCAAACTTTTGCATAAGACTGTATGTACTTATGTAACTGCCAGGGTTTCTGTTAGGTAATAAATACAAGTACAATGTAAGACTGGCAAATTAAGATCCTGCCTGACACAATGTAAGGTAAAAATATTTAAGTATGTAAAATCTAATTTAAGTATGTAAAATCTGTGCCGATGCATTAACCTCCGGTTCTGCATAAGAGGAAGTGACCAACTCCTGGACTGCTGGCATTTAATATAAGACAGAGCTGAATTTTGTCTCCTTGTCATTAACCATCAATGCTACACTACTACTCCTCATTTCATAAAGGAATGTCTTTTGTCATGAATTTTTGAATATGCTTAATGAAATAATTTGTCATCGTTGAAAAAGAGTTTAAATTGCCGACAACTAGGCAAGTAAAAGTCAAGGTCGGTAAGTTAGCTTATAATTAGCTTGCATGTTAGCTTATAGCAAATTTCTTTGTTCAGCTATTGTCTACATAAGCATTTTTTTATCATTTACGAGTGGTCCATTAAAGCAGGAGTGCTGTAGGAGAAAGAGGAGTAAGTTTCAGGTTAAAGAGTGAGCATGTCTCAAGCTGCAGAGAAACTTTTGAAACATTTCACTGAACAGCAGCAATGAAGACAGAGGAGAATGTACCAAACATATGATTGCGAATGCTTTAATCCAACAATATGTTTTCACTGACAAAGATTTTTATTTGAGGCTGTAATAGAATATGCTCGGACTAGCCCATCACATCATGTGTTTATACGATGTAGATTTTGGGTGAACATTTTAACCTAACTATGTAATTTCGCCTGTAACTATGTAATCACGTTTAAATGATATAGCAAAGAGGCAGTAATAGCTGGATGTTTCAGGGGTTATATGAAGATACCCTGGGATTGGGTCAGTTAGCATCGTGCATAACATTAGAAATCATGCACAGGTGTTTAGGTCCCCATCACATGTTAATTTCTGGACCAATATTGGTTACTTTGTCATCTTACCTAAGTTTGCCTCCAACATTAAACCATGGAGTCAGTTTGTTTTCCAGGCTCAAATACAGAAGTCTGTGTGTAAGTCGACTCAACAATGTAACAGTCTTCAGGAAAGAGAAGACAGCGATAGTGATCTGCACACGTAGTTATGACAGCAGCGTCGTTAGCATACCTTAGCAGTTCTTCCATGTCTGCCTAATCGTTTGAGTCAGCGCAGACTGAATATTCCGCCGCTTGCCAGAAACACAGTAGCTGATGGGCTGCCTTTATTTGCAGAATCTTCGGTCACGTCAGTCATCGGTCCGAGTGGCAGCTGGTGAAGATCGACTTCAGGTCTATTTTTAACAGGCGATGCACTGAGGCGGACTACCAGACCTGGCACCTCCACAACCAGGTAAAGCTCCTTGTGCAACGGACATGTGCATACGTTGACCATCAGAAGTTTGAGAACACTTAACTTATCATGATCTTTTTACTACAAATGATCATGCTTCTGTCACTTTTCACTATAACATTAAAGTCTGATAAATTGGTTTTGGCAAGCAAAATCTGCTCTCCATACTAAGGAAGACACTTTGATGAACATGAAGCTGAGTGCTGCAAAATTTACTCAACAGCTGAAGGTGGTGAACCTGCTTAGCCTGTAAATCAGGGCCTGTATTCATAAGCTTCTCAGAGTACGAGTGCTGATTTATGATCAGATTCTTCTCTTATTTACAATAATATAACTTACAGAAACAGACTTTGAGTCAGCATTTATTCTCGAAGCCTAGTGAATACAGGCCCGGATTTTTATAGCTAAAAACCTCAAATACACAAAAAAGGGAAAAAAATCTACAACTAGTCTATTCTGAGTGTATGGAAGCCTAGACTTGTGAGGTAGAGGACTTGTTCTTCTTCTTTGTGTCTGGCAGCTGACTTAATATCTCAAAAGAATGACTTTTTTTCTCAAAATGTTACTGCATTGTGTGAAAATAATGACCTATTTTTTCAAAACTTAGACTGAAGTTGAAATCATTTCTTTAAAATTTTGACTCGTCAAAATAATGACCTTATTTCCTCAAATGTTTGACTTATGTTGAAATAATGACTGTATTTTCTCAATATTTTATTTATGCTGAATTACTGAATTATCTTTATTATCTTAAAATTATTAAATTCTTTCTACAACTCAACATTATTATTTTGACATATGTCAGAATTTTATCTAAATAACTCAAATCTTGGGGAGGTAAAAAATTACTTGTGAGATAACAAGTCAATATTTTGAGAAAATAAGTCATTATTTTGAGAAACTACTGAGATACTACTGAAGCAACAGGCGATCTTTTTCCTCCTCTACCTGGTGTGAATGGGCTTCTGTATGATTGTGACCTTTTACTCATTAATACATACACTATATTGCCAAAAGTATTCACTCACCCATCCAAATCATTGAATTCAGGTGTCCTAATCACTTCCATGGCCACAGGTGTATAAAACCAAGCACCTAGGCATGCAGACTGCTTCTACAAACATTTGTGAAAGAATGGGTCACTCTCAGGAGCTCAGTGAATTCCAGCATGGTACCATGATAGGATGCCACCTGTGCAACAAGTCAAGTCGTGAAATTTCCGCGCTACTAAATATTCCACAGTCAACTGTCAGTGGTGTTATAACAAAGTGGAAGCGATTGGGAATGACAGCAACTCAGCCACAAAGTGGTAGGCCACGTAAAATGACAGAGCACGGTCAGCGGATGCTGAGGCGCATAGTGCACAGAGGTCACCAACTTTCTGCAGAGTCAATCGCTACAGACCTCCAAACTTCATGTGGCCTTCAGATTAGCTCAAGAACAGCATAGAGAGCTTCATGGAATGGGTTTCCCTGGCCGAGCAGCTGCATCCAAGCCTTACATCACCAAACGCAATGCAAAGCATTGAATGCAGTGGTGTAAAGCGCCGCCACTGGACTCTAGAGTAGTGGAAACGTTCTCTGGAGTGATGAATCACGCTTCTCCATCTGGCAATCCTTGTCTGACTGCATTGTGCCAAGTTTAAAGTTTGGTGGGGTTGTTTTTCAGTGAAGGGAAACCTTAATGCTTCAGCAGACCAAATGATTTTGGACAATTTCATGCTCCCAACTTTGTGGGAACAGTTTGGGGATGGCCCCTTCCTGTTCCAACATGACCAGTGCACAAAGCAAGGTCCATAAAGACATGGATGAGCGAGTTTGGTGTGGAAGAACTTGACTGGCCTGCACAGAGTCCTGACCTCAACCCAATAGAACACCTTTGGCATGAATTAGAGCAGAGACTGCGAGCCAGGCCTTCTCGTCCAACATCAGTGTCTGACCTCACAAAGGCGCTTCTGGAAGAATGGTCAAAAATTCCCATAAACACACTCCTAAACCTTGGGGAAAGCCTTCCCAGAAGAGTTGAAGCTATAATAGCTGCAAAGGGTGGGCTGACATCATATTAAACCCTATGGATTAAGAATGGGACGTCACTAAAGTTCATATGCGCGTGAAGGCAGACGAGCGAATACTTTTGGCAATATAGTGTGTGTGACTGAATAATAAGTAATTTGAAATGAAGGACACACTTCAAAATTAGGTATTTGCTAATCACTGTCATTAGGTTGAATAGGATCTGTGCCAAAGTTCGGTAAAGTTTGACCAACATGGCAACAGTTGCTCCAGAAGAATGCATTTGTGGACAAAGCATGTACAGGTCAATTCGAAATAATGTAAAATTAATATTTCCAAAAAATGTTGTGTCCTCAAACTTTTGACACACGGTGTATCTACAAGCCAAATTCAGTGCATCTCTTCATATCCAACTGTTTCATCAGATATTTGTCACAGTGCACGTTCCAGTCCATCCCTCAGACATGTACATATAGACAGATGGGGAGAGATTGTGGTCCAAGCACATAGTTAGCCCCTCGGGTGGGTGGGAGTTAAGTGCCGTACTCTGATGGCAGAGTGAGTCAGCCATACAGTTTTGCCTCCGGCTGCTGGTTTCCTCTCGTCATCTCCTGTGTCAATCATGCCATTTGAACTTCCCCATAGTAATACATTCTGATGGAGTGGTGGAGAAAGAGTGGCTTTTTTTATTTACATTTTCACATACATGCCCTACTTGTTCCACAAGGACACTATAGGTTGTTTTTTGATAGAAAATTTTGAAAGTTCTGAAAAACGAATTAGCCAAAAAGTCAGCTCATCACTATGCCTATTCTAATTACCTTTTGAGCTCATTGGTCTTATTTTGCTAATGCTAATGGTAGTTGTCTATTTTTTAATATATTTTTGTTTGCAATGTGTGATTATGTGTCCATACACATATAAGTTTGCTTGCACAATTAAAACATACTGATTAATGTCGGAATCGTGGTCCGGTTGACTTTTTGATTATTGACCATTATGTAGAATATAAAGAAATAGTATTAGAATATTTAAACTTAGCAGGCCAGCCTAGACTGGAAGTCTAGAACAACGGCAAACACACAGTTACACAGTTTTACGCACAACCCGAATGTAGTCGATCAGCCAAGACTACAGATGACAAGCCATCTGATGTTTGAGGTAAAGAAAAAAAGAAAGAAAAATTCTGATAGATGGATGGATGCTATTATTTCTTTATCTGCAGTACTGCTAGAAATCACCCTTTCATTTTTTGAATCCACACTCAAGTAAGTACAGGTACAAGTAAGTTATTCTTTTTTTTAATTGTCAGAAAAAAAAAACATTCAGTGTGAAGTTACACAGAAGCCTCAACAACTACAAGTTCTGTATTTAGTGTTTCCACCCTTTGCCTTTATTGCAGCATCTGTTCTTCTTTGGAGACTCGATTTCAGTTTGTATAGAACACTCCACACCTCTAAAGTTTAGTCTTAGAAGTTGCAGTCCAAGTAGTCCAATCGTATTTAATGATGTTGAGGTCTAGACTCCAGAGCACTATGATTCATCAAAGCATTCAGAAAAACAAAATTCAATATCTTCAACTCAAAGTGAAAGTGGTCAGCAGCTAAGAAATATATAAACAGATAAAATGGCAAATGATAAATAAACTTACAGTAATATTCAGCTGTATCATTCAATTCCCATTGATTTATAAAATGAAAAGAGCTGATAGTTAATATCTGACAGCTGATGGTGAAAATCAATAAAAAATATGTCTGCCTTGTACTTCTGCTAATCATGTACTCCATAATAATCAGCCACAGAATGAACCACCATCACAGTCTGTGCATTTTCAGAACACTGTAGTCTAACAGTTGTTTGAAAGATATCTGAGCTGACAACTGTTTTGACAGTCTGTACATGCAAAAAAAGCCAAATTCATGAAGATATCAAAATTCTGTTAGCATTTACGAGCACAGCCAGGTTTTCTGAGTGAGGGCCGGCATGTCAAGCATACATATCATGACATATCTGAGGAGCCTAGGGATTTAGTGAAAATAACGTATGTGACTGTATCATGTAAATACTGTGCACTAATAATTGACCAAAATAATTATGCCATATTGCTCTAGGATTGTAAGAGTCAAAGTGTAGAGTACACAAAAGTGGACAATAAAATGCTGATAGATTTGATTTTATACTTACTGTAAGTTTTTTTGCTTTTTTTCTGAAAAAAATGAATAACTTGCAGTAAATTAGCATTTTGATTGGCAATTGAATAAATGAAAGGACAGTAAACTGTCTGACATACATCATTTTTTAAATCATAACATATCAGTGTTATCACATAAGCAAGTGTATTTGAGATACTTAACTGTAGTTGTTATTAACACGTGCAGTTTGAGTGTAAGTGTAAGCTACGTTAGCTTCATAGCTCCAGTGTAAACTAAAGTCTAACGATAGCATTGCTAATCCACTACATTTGAGAAAACAGGAAGGATGTGTACATTTTATTTTTTTTATATATATTTTTTCCTTTTCCTTTTTTCCCAAGCTGTTTGTTATTCCTGGGCATTTGGGTTAAAGACTTTTTAGTGAATTTAGAGAAAAATCAATAAACTATTCAATGAATGATCCTCCAGAGAACTTTCAGCTAGGCCACAATCTTACATTACAATGGCTTTTTCAACATTTCATTAGCTTTTTGTACATCTAAAGTTCATTTATCTAAGAATAGACGCCGGCAGAGTCGCCCTCACTCAGAAAACCTGGCCGTGTTTGGCTGCCGCCTGTAGTGTCCTCACCTCACCGGAGATTGTCCCCTTTTTTTCCCTGGGCTATTACTACAACCCCTCTCGGAGCTGGTCATATCAGGGCTTGATCAGATGTGTCACTGCCCAGTCCTATTCTTTCCAATCTTTATGACATCTGTGAGGTCTAATCTCAGTTCTTTGAGCCGAGCTGCGGACAGCAGCACTCTCTTCAGCCTTACTGTCCGAAGCCACTCAGGTGATTCTCTTTTAACCAATGGTGACATGCTGTCCTCCAGGGTCTGCTGCAGCGTGTATGTGTTTGCACAGAGAGAATAATGTATGATCGGGCCCAGGCCAACAGCCAACTGTCCACTCTCTGGGGAGTGTGTATAACTCTGTGGGCTGCTCCATTACATTTTCCTTTTATAGGTGCCTTCAGTAGTGTAATGTCAAAGCTGCCATTTCCACTGTTTTAGTGTGATGGCCTGAAATAGAAGGAATAGTTTGGTCAGAAATCTATTTTAGCAATTTTGCCCTTTTCTCAAAAACAGCCAGTCAGCCAAGACTCATTTCTCATTTCAAAGAAGTTTGCTTCTTTAGCTGATAAGTAGTGTTGTGCAAAATTCAGAGACCACCCTTTATTCAATTTCCAGTCCAAATGGCCATTAAGTATGAGTTCATTTTTCAGTTTCAGGGAAAAAGTAGAAAAACATATTTGACAGAAAAAGAAATCTGCAAGGATATTTTTCCACAGTCTTTGAAGTTGGTTGCATTTTCTGCTTCTCATGATTCAAGTAATCCCAAACTGGAGAGGACAGTCCATTGTTCTGAGAACACCAGCAGCTTATTCTTCTGCTTCTTCTACAGCTACACATCTTCTCACAGTGGAATGATGGACAGAAACACCTGTACATTTTTTCAGATCTGAAGTAAGAGTGGATCTTGATTTTCTACTCTCTCTCAAACATAAAAGCTTTCAGTACTGCTTATCTAGTGGGGAAAGTTTTGGTGGTCTACCGGTTCTTGCATGGTTGTTAGGGGTCCCATTTTCTCTCTAATTTTTAGTCATTTTTTGAACTCAAGTTTTGGGAATTCCTGCTTTTTTTCACTCGTTTTTGTCTGACTTTCTCCTTCCCTATGTAAGTGGATTTCTCCTCAGAAATATCTCTGGATGAATAACTTATACTTAATGGCAGTTTTGGAAATTCAATAAATCTAGGGTGCTCTCTGACTAGTGGGAGTATCTAAGGCCTCCATGTATAGGTACAAATATGTGTCAACGTTTTGTATTGCGCTATGCGGTGTACAGCAAGCATCCCCAGCTTGTGAATTAGAATAAAGTCTGAATTGTATTTTCTGAAACTATGCAGTCATGCATTTTGGGAGCATAACAAATGCTATGTGGGTTTCATTGTTTGCCCAGTTCTGCGCCACTTATTCTGATGCAAAAACTCAAATAAAGTCCAGCTACATGTGACAGAAGAAGATAAATGGGCTTCCATTTCATACAGGAAAGTCTCATTTTTATTCAACCAGCTCAAATCCTACCCCTCAAAAAAACAGCTCAGTTTCAGTGGGCGTAATGGGGGAGTGGGACGGAGAAGAAACAACTTCAAGTGCAATATACATGAAACATAAGTGAAAGGCATGGAACCCTGCAACCTTCTGAAAAAAGGGACCCCACAGAGTTGATGAAGAATGTGAAAATGTGGAATTGTGAAATATGCACATTGTGTGCGACTCGTTTCTCTATTCTCTTTTTCCCTGCTCTTTTTTCCACCCCCAGTGCGATGCATGCATGCACCATCGCTGCTGAACCTGAATTATTTATAGGAAAGGGGAAATCAGAACCAAAAAAAAAAAAAGAATTTTCTGAGATTAAAATAATAAATCTGCTTCCAGGGTGAGCCATGTCTGATGGGCGTGAAGAGAATCTACCGGAAGCTGAAGCCCATAGCCAGGTGTGTTATGGGTAAGACCTATTCAGTCAGCGTGACGTCGGAGCCATGTGACTGCACCGAATCTGATTTTGAATGGTGAGTGACTCTCTGGTTTTTCCAGTGCAAAGAAACAAACTTTCTCTTTATTTTTCCTCATCATGTTCTTTTTGCTTTTATTTTTGTAAAGCACATTGAATTGGGTGACTATTGATTTTCATTCAGCAAATTCCAGCAAATCCAATCATAAATGTAAGCATGAACGTGTTAGATGCACAAATGATATGAGAAATTCAGATATGAAACAACTTTTGCCCTCATTTTTGCTGCATGCTTATGGTTAAGCAAAATTGATCAATATAGTGTTTAGGTCTGCTTTTGCTATTTTGCACTATAAAAAAAAAAAAACAGAAAATTTTAAGTTTTCTTCAGTTGATAAATATGGTACGTATTTAAATTTGAATCGATGGCCCAGAATAATAAGCCGCTGTTAACCTGCAGAGGTAGGTTTACCTAAGTATCTAAAAGGAATGTGTTTTATACATGAAAAAAAATGATCAAAATGAGAAGAGTTTTATAATTCCAATAAACTTTTACAAGCCTTCTGTTTTCAGGACAGTCCTGCAAAATGCAGGATGAGTTGTCACTAGACTGTAAACTGAAGTGACTAATTGACTCAAGCATTTAAGCATAAGTGTTTAGACCACAGATACATTCAAACAAGCTTGCCCAAATACATATATATACAAACCCAAAAACCAGTGCAAAATTTCCCTATAAATCATGCACCCACATTTACCCCAATGAAGACAACAAATTAAAATCAGACAGCTGCAATGTGCATAAAAAAGACTTTAAAAAGCAGCAAATTTAAAAAACCCCAAAAATCAAGCTCCCTAGCTGAAGTACACTGCTAAAGGATTTTTTTTTCGATTTTATGCTATATATTACCTCTGCTAACATTGCTTGGAAATATACAGTTCACAGATCTCTACCAACAAGGATGATCCAACTTTTTCTGTGGCTGACAGTTTATATTTGGCTTTGGCAATAGGCATCCTCCACTCTGCTGAAGTATTAGGTCTCGCTTTTACAGCTTCAACAGGCACACTTTAAATGTCTGGAGCAGAGGTAGTGGCCGGATACTGGAACAGTTGCTAAGCAGTCATTAGAGGAAACATGGAGAGCACCAGGGTCATGATCAACAGTAACACAATGACAAGTATTCTTTGATAAAAAAGAGAGAAAACTCTCCAAACCAAGGCACTTTTAATTGAAAACGTCTTTATTTTATTGACAGTGCGTGGACATTTTTTAACTATCCAGTTAGGACATGTCAATACAATAAAGACTTTTTAATTTAGGGGGTCCTTGATTTGGAGAGTTCTGTTCTCTCTTTGATTTTTTTTTCTCCCTTGACATCAAAGAGCACCCAATTCAAACTACATTTAAAGCCAAGAATTATTCAATGTAGAGCATGCCTGTTCCCACTGCGAGTCAAAACAGCTGTAGCATCTGTCATAATTACTCACAGGGGCCCCATAAAACACACTGGATGATCCAGGCCTGACTGGGAGTGTTCAAACTAATAGAAATATAGAATAGAAATTATCCAGAGTCACTTGAAAGTCTGTTTACATTAACTTCCATTACAAGGTTTTCTCCTTTCCTGAAAAATTACCATGGAGATCTGAGGTTTTGTTCTGAATATGTATATTATGTGCAGGAAGATCTGCGATATGAAAACAATGGAGTGATGTGTTTAAAAAAGAAAACAAGACAGAGTTCACCGTCATGGTTAGGCCGCTGTGATTAGCATCGCAGGGAAGCTGTGCTAGATTAGCTCTGAGGCTGCTTCTGTTAAGTGGAAACCAGTCAACTGTGCAGCTCCCAGCTGTGAGACAAAGCAGGAGGAAAATAGTGATGGAGGCAAGAAAAGGACTTGGAATTATGGGTGTGTTTGTGTCATCTATGTTTGCGTGGCCAAATATTCAGCTCTTTAAATAGACCAATTGTTCTTAGCATGATGGAAAATGTAATAGTATTGTAATAATAATTCTATAGGTATGGACAAAATGCAAAAAAAATATTTTTTATTGAGCATGTGCAAAAATAAATGATTTAAGAAGAAACATGAGGAAATATTTAAAAAAAAAACAATAAAATGAGGCATCTTATTAAAGCAATAAGCCATGAGAGGCCATGCATTACTGTGATTTTATCACAGGAAGGGTGTTTTTCTAAAACTCCCTTCCCTGTGATAAAATCGCAGTAACGCATGGCCTCAAGTTGCTTATTGCTTAAATAAAATGGCCCCAAACATGAAATATGATAAAATACACAATTTTCCAGAAAATAAATATTGTTATTACTAACGATAATGAACACAAACAATTATTCCGCCAAGAAATGTAGTTCCTTTAGAGTGTGGTATCATTGACAAGCAACCATGCACCGCTGAATGAGGAGAACGTTCGGTCTCCCATCACTGTATATTGCAGTCATTTTGTGAATTTCTAACTTTTTGTCATATAACAATAAACATACAATAACACAGCACTGTTTAATGCAAAACGTTTGCTTTATAAATATTTTTTGGTCACCACCACCGTTATATAGCACCAATCCAGCGGCGCTCCTCTTCTCATTCTGCGGCTGAATCTCAAATGGCTCCCTGCTCCCTACGTAGTGCACTATGTATGAATTTAAAAACTGGATCCTGCAACCCGGTGATGCAAAATATGGCAAAAAATTGTCATTTGGGACTCAGACACATACTCCATAAATGATGCACTATTTGGCTGTAGAGGCTAGAATTTTTAAACTTTCACAGTTGGCACACTATTTAGGGAATACGTTTGACACTTCTTTTGACTGAATCATGATCATGTGTGCCATTCAAGTGACATTTGTAGAAATTTATACTGCTGTTTTAATCTTACCATACATACTTTAATGCAGCACAGCAGCACTTAGGCCTAATAATACAGAGATCCCCACACAGACAGCAATACGAACCAATGTGTGTGCTGCTTCTTTATGACCCTATATCATGTCCTCATGAGCTCCCGGAGCCCCACAGCTCCTCTTACTTGGCTCCATGTCTTCCCCTCTAAGACTTCACACCCCTCTGCTTTGTAAGTTTAAACCCGCTCACCGCATTCACCCCGCTCCCCCACCGTGCAAGCAGAACACCGCTTTTCTCATTTTGCCATGAATTATTCGAATTATTAATGTTGCTTTTTTGTTACGTCCCAAATCCTGAGGCCCCTCGGGTGCTGGCGCTGCTCGGAACGCCCGCTGAAAGACATTAATCAGGGAGCGTAATAGCTTTCATTAACTATCACAACGCAGCCGCATCTGTGTAGCGTGTAGCAGTAATTGCAGCAATTTGTCCCCATCGTCTGGGGCTGCGCAGTCACATTGGGTTTTAATTGTAGGACAAACAACTTAAGCTTGTGTCGTCTGGCTGCTTGATCATAAAGACAAACACAGCAGAGTCCCGTGATCGATCGCATGTCTGACACTCCAGACGTCCTTCACTTTAAAGAGACATTTTAGACTTGTCGGTGTTGTCGTTAGGTGAGACAAGTGATCGAGAGAAGAAGCTGCAGTCTGTTTGCTGAAATAGATCTCATTGCTGTCATAAGAAAATCCCTTTTTTTTTTAATACATTTTTGGTGTGTGCTGTTTTTAACAGTTTGAAAATACTGGCTGCCCTTTATACTCAGTCAACAGAAATTCTGAAAGACAAAGTTTTTAATTAATTTAATTTTAAATTAAAATTAATTTTAATTAAGTTACATTAAAAATTGTTTTAAGAACATGGGTACAATTGAGGGTTCAAATGATTAATTATAATTTAAAATATATTACTAGTATCTCTATTAGGGCCTGACTAATATGAACATTTTGAGGGTCATACTAAGACCAACTTTAAGGGGCTAAAAATTCTGATAACTGTTATAATGAAACGAAAACATATATTTACATTTTTGTTGATTTTTGTTTTTCTACATCATTTGAAATGGCAGCTCTCTTTGTGTGTGAACCAACAGAAGTGCTCCAACATTACTTCACCTCTTTACATGAACTCACATCAAAATTAAGAATGTTTTCGCCTTCTCCTGTAGAGTTGTTATTTTGGAGTTACATGTTTTTCTTTGAACAGTGACAATTTATTATAAACATATCATTTTATGTTTATGTTTTGATTAAATAATGCTTTTTTGACAGATATGATTGTAAGTCTTCAATTGTCCCACCTCTTAAACTCAAGTAGCGTAAAGTCTCAGGGTCTGATGTGCTAAAGGCCTTTGTGTCGGTTTCAAGCACAAATCAGAAGCATTCTGCCCTCATGTTATGTACATACCTGGTGCACAAGCCTAAACACACAGTTACAGTCTTATATGTGGAAAAATTCAAAATGTACTTCCCTCATGCGTGTGCATTTATGGGAGGGCTGCGCAAAACATCAGAGGTTCATGCAAGTGGGCGAGTCTACACACAGAGTGCGTGATAAGCTGAAGTCTTAGTAAATCAAACAATAAATTCAGACCCATGAAGGCACATTTTGTGTTGTGTCTTTGCTGCCTTAATTAATACAAAACTCACATTGGGACTGGAGCTACCCAGAATTCTTTGTTCTTTTGGTTTCTGTTGCCTGCCTCTTATTTTTTTTTATTTCTTTTGGTTTTTCATCAAGAGGTCTCACGTTCAAATCCTGGTGATGCCATGACCAAGAAATTCAGAAAGTCAGCTATTTTTAGCATTTTTGGTGATATTTTCACTGAAAAGTTAAACCAAGGATTACCAGTATCGACGGAAGTATCGGTCAGGCTCTAATTGCAGTACAACAACAGTCTTAAGTAGTGATACTATTTTTACCTGATTTTATATTCTTCTGCCTCTTCTTCTTCTTCTGCCAGATTCTTGACCACTAATCCAGCAGTTTTTGAGATATCAACACCGTTCCATCTCTGGAATGTTCGGTCTAATTGGGAATGGTGTGATTGAATACAGCCTTTTAAACCAACGCACGGTTTTTATACAGTTAGTGAGTGTGTTTACATGCACTCAATAATCCGATCATAATCGGATTTCTGCAGTTTTCTGATTACTCAAATGGGCATGTAAACTACATACTCTGATTTCTGAGATCGGAGTAAGGTCTAGAAAACTGATTAAGAAATCCGATAAATAGAGCTGGATTTTTGCTCAGTAATCAGATTTCTCAGTGCATGTAAACTCTTACTCTGATTTCTTTCGGATTTCTGTGCATGTGCAAAAACAGACGGTGGTACCAGAAACAAGCAAGCAGCGTTGCTGCGAGATGGCAGCAACACACTTTTGGAGCGATGCTGAAACCGACTACATGCTTGGCAAAATGAAGTATTTAAATATTCTTCGTCTTCTAGATGATATACGTTCATATTTTCAGGTTAAGCAACTTGATGTTTAAAAAAAAAATAGCATGACAGCATGTTTACAGTACATTTACGTCACGTCTTCTTCTGTGAGTTTTTTGGCCAGGTGCAAAGGAGAAATCCGATTATTGTCTGACTCATGTAGAACTGGAGTTTCCCATTATCTGATTACTCAAGTGCATGTAAACATGTTGATCAAATTACTGACAAAATCAGATTTTCAGTAGTCAATCATTGTTAAATGAACATTTTTTTCCCGTAGGCATAATTCGGTTGCAAAAGTTTGTGCACCCAACTTATTTTATGTTGATACATGTCCTTTAGTAACCCTATTAACCAAGTGGGGAACCATAGCAACCACCTAGCAACACGTGGCAACCACCAAGCAACACTCTTGCAACCACCTGAGATACTATAGCAACCACTGATCAACAACTTCGCAACCACCTAAATTACCATTACCATTTTGCAACACTCTACCAACCACCTAGCAACTGTTTACGCTGTGTAATCGCTCTGCATTTTCTTCAGGAAGTGCACTTTTCTAGTTATCAGTTACAGCCATAATCATTATATTGACCAGAAATGCAATGTTTGTGCATATTTTTTTCCTTCTGCTTTACCTATTACTTTACCATTTTGACAGTGACAGCAGGTTCTAGAGATGTAAACAATGTCTACAGTGATCAGGTTCTGTAGTAAATAATGCTCCCTGTACTGTTTGCATTTTCATTGTGCCTCGCTGTGTTTTTCATGTCTTAGTCTGAGTCTCCTGACTCTTTATGCATGTGTGTTTGTGGGTGTGTTGCAGTGATTATGGATATGAACGGAGGACAGATGGCAGGTGTACTCCAGCTTTCTGGTTTCAGCCTTCATCCATGTCCAGAAGCTGCACTACAGGCCACACATTCCTCAACAGCACTGGGTGAGCTAATGTAACTCATTCAGAAGCAACATATTAGTAAAAAAAAATCAGGACATAAACTCTTTGTTCATATTTTGAGTTTAGCAATATTGAACCAGTTTCCCACATTTAACCCAAGCTGTAGGCTTTTATACTATAGTTATTATTCTTTGTTTCGCAACTACTGTGTAGTTTTGAGAGTGAGGCATTAAACTGGGGACTCTCATGTGGACCTTTTGGGTTGTAAAAGCTGTATTCACATAAGTGTGGAATAAAAGGTTTTGCGTGTGCGTTGGCTGCTGACTTCATTGGAGATTTTTTCCTTTCCCTTTTTTTTTTGCACGTAACAGCAGAAGTTCAAATCTAATTAGCTTTGACCTTGACATGTACAGACACTGGAATATATTGCCAGTGACTATAGCCTGTACCTACAACTTCTGAGTGAATTTTGGGGATTTCTTTGAAAGGCTAAAAGCAAGTCTTGTGAAAAGAATTGAAGCTGTAGTAAAGGCAAAGGGTAGACATGCTCAATAATGAAAAAAATAAATTATTTTTTAGTTGATGAGGCTTAATTGCATTGCTTTACATATGTTTTCTGCTACCTGGTGCTGAGAATGAGTAACTAGTCATTTAGGGCCATTTTGACTGGAAATTAAGTAAATGAAAGTGGTCTTTGACTTTATACAGTACTGTACACAAACAATGTAAATGTACCCTCAAAGGCACAACAGGTTTTGGAAAATGCTTTATTTATACTTTGTTTTCATATCCTTATATTTTATATAAATAAAAATCTGTATAAAATAAAAAGTTGTATAATACAAAAAAAAATATAATTTCATTGGATTATGGTACAAATATGTTCCCTGACTATAGGTACTGAGATGTACCCTTGTGGGTACCACCCCAGTGATGGTTTCGTACCTTTATTTCTGAGAGTGTATATGTATGTATGTTCATGATGTGTGTATGAATGTATTATTTTCATAGTATTTTCACATACTCCATATTCATAGCTAATGGTATCTTACATTAAGAAATACCATATCATTTGTATGTAGTGTCTTCTATAATATAATAGACTGTTCATATGTTGAACTGAAGTTGAGAAGTTTAAAAATACCTGACACTAATTAGGTTTATGTTTAATAAATGTGTGACCACTGCATAGCACCTCGAGCAGAACCAAGGGGCACACAGTTCCTTTTTTTTCCCCACAGTATGTGAATTCTGGGTCATTTATAACCTGTTCTCTGTGTGTATGTGTGTCTGTAGATACAGAAAAGTGGTGTCTAATAACTGCACTGCCGGTGTGAAGGACCTGTACACGGCGCGGAGACTGCCGTGCCCCAGCCAGGCCCCTAAAGGCCTCCACCTGGTTACAAGCGAGGGCAAGCTCACAGCCCTGCTGAGCCACAATGTCACCTTCCTCGTTTTCCTTGAGCAGGTGATTCATCACTAGACACTAAATGAATACTTCACCCAAAATGCTAATGTGGCTAACACTGGTAACATGGTGATTCATTTGCGCAATGCTAGCAGGTTCCACCAGTTTGTTTTCAATCACTACTGAGGAGCAGCGTGACCTACATGCTAACATGGCTTTTAGAGAGGAATGCTGATGTCCTCATTTAGCATAAAGCAACTGTCCCTGATGCTAGTCACCAACTATTAGCTGTTAACTGTTTAATTCAGACTAACTCTAACTCTAGCATTACATGCTGCAAAGTTAAAAAAAGGTGAAAGCTTTGCCGGAAATTTCCATTTAGATTTCCCCCTTAGTGGCACAGGAGAAGACTGAATAGAGCTAATTAAGCAATAGCTGGATGAACTATAGATATTAGGGCTTTGTCAATGTCATGGAAACCATGAGTGATGTTTTTTTCTTAAAAGAGACTGAAATTTTGAGGCCTTATCTTCTGATGCATGCCTAATGTAATTACTGACACAATGTGAAATTCATTAGTGTCATTTCTGTTTTTCAACAGGGTGATGGATCAAGGACGAGCATCACAGTGGACTTCGGTGATGGCAATGCTATCACATACTCCAACGTGAGCTCCATCGAGGATGGGATCAAACACGTCTACAAGAACGTAGGAATCTACCGAGTGTCTGCCACAGCCGAGAACAGCCTTGGGTCTGAGACAGCAGTGCTTTTCTTACATGTTACATGTAAGTTGCCTTGAGTCCTTCAAGCTAAGATCATTGAAAAGAATATGTATACTTACATATGCTGGTCTAATATGCATTACTGCTGAAATGAAAAACTGAAATGAATTTAAAAGGACTATTGATACACATCCACTAAATGGGCATAGCACATACATAAACACTATATAGACACCTACACCTTACACTTACAGGGGCTTTTATGACATCCCGTTATAAATCCATAGGCATTAATATGAAGCTGACCCCGGCTTTGCAGCTAAAACAGCTTCCACTTTTCTAGGAAGGTTTTCTACAAGATTTGTGTGTGTCTGTGGGAATTTTTGCCCATTCATCCATTGTGAGGTCAGACACTGTTAGACGAGAGGGCCTTGCTCACAATCTCCATTCTAATTTATCCCAACTGTGTTAGATGGGTTTCAGGTCAGGGTTCTGTGCAGGCCAGTCAAGTTCCTCCACACCAAACTCACCCAGCCATGTCTTTATGGGCCTTACTTTGTGCACTGGGGCTCAGTCATGGTAGAACAGAGAAGTGCCTTCCCCAAACTGTTCCTACAAATTTGGAAGCATACAATTGTCCGAAATGTCTTTCCCTTCACTGGAACTAAGAGTCTAGGCCAACCCCTGAAACACACCCCTATAGCATTATCCCTTCTCCACCATACCTTACAATGCAGTCAGGCAGGTAACATTCTCCTGGCATTGGCCAAACCCAGACTCGTCCATCGGACTGCCAGAAGTGTGATTCGTCACTCCGCAGAATACAGTGTATATATATATATATATATACAAAAAAGTAAACAATAATGAAGTTTTCAGATCTTGGCAATTTACAAGGATTACATATTGGATCATTTATATGGTACTTTCTATTGGGAGGTGGCTGTCTCAAACCATTACTCCTAAATTACAATTTAAATAATACATTATTTTTATTTTTTTTTATTTATTTTGAGGTGAGATATTTAGATTCATCATGAGCTTAATTTTTAAATAGAAAAGTCCTTTCCCATATTTTCCTGTCACTACCACAACATATAGTTTAGCTCATAGGCAGAGCCTTATTTTAGCCAAACCCCTGTGTTTAAAAGCAAGAAGTGAGACTGCAAATTAAAAGTCAAAAGTCTGAAATTCAGTGTCTAACATTAAAAATTGTCACTACTGACACACAATAACCACATTTTCTCTAATTAAGTAAACATTTTTCTGTGATTTTCTGCAGTTAACTATAATTAATTAAGGTATAGGGTCACTCAAAGTAAAAACATTTTAATCTAAATCCAACTAACTAGTCTAAAATATGTTTTGAACTCTGACATTTGAACAATTAAGTAGAATGATCCATATTATACACTATTATGTACAATTCATCTAGAATGTGATTGAGTTAAGCAAATAAAGAGGATCTTGCCTCCATTATCCAGTACAAAGGGAGCTATTTATGATGTGGAATACTTTTCTTAGAAAAACTTGACTGCTATTTTGTTAATTATTGTTTTTAAACCAAAGATCACTCCTCTGATTTGCAAAGCTATTACGACGCATATGATTACACTCATGAATGAACAGTCAAAGATATCTTTTGAGGAAAATGATTTCAAGCATGATTTGCTTCCTTTAGTCTGCCTATAAAAGGGAAATTCAGCGGTTGTGATGTAAACCAAGGCATTCAGAGTGGTTTGATGTGAAGTGTTGCTTGGTACCATTTCAGATTTATTTACAGTGGTGGTTCTAGGCAAACAAACAGTGTACTTACATGTGTCTTCTGAGTTTTTATATGTATTGTTGATGGTAAAATAGTGACAAAACTTGAACAAATATGTTTTCTTGGGGAGCTGTTTTTGTCTCACAACACCCTGCATGAACCTCTCTGCCACAAGTAGATTAAGAATGCATTTTCGACCAAAATCACATCTCTTCGAATTATCGCAAAATAATGTCTCAGGCATGCCCAGTGGACATCTTATTGCCCACATCTAGCTCTTCAATGGCTTAGGAGACTTAGAGGCAGATTCACTGACATTTTACACTGCTTAGTTGGTGCTAAAAAGTTTACTGAACAGGCACAATGACACTTCAGCGCTTGTTAGCAGACCAAGATAGTTACCGCTCTTCTGCGCTTTTACCTTATTGCATATATGGGATTACATCTATAGGCGTTTCCCTCTCAAAGTGCAGAATATTGGGAGGAGATTGTTATAATGAAGCACCTACTTCCACCGACCAAGACTGACAAGACTGTAACGCTTTTTACTACAGGTGTTGTCACAAAGCAGCTTTACAGAAAAATTCGGGTCCAAGCCCCCTTGAGCAAGCCAGTGGCGACAGTGGCAAGGAAAAACTCCCTATGAGCAAGAGGAAGAAACCTTGAGAGGAACCAAGACTCAACACCAGATAGCAAACAATAACAGCAGAGAATGAGATTTGATCATTAGTATAACATACAGAAAAAGGGGAAAAGCAGGAGTAGCCATGTCTATGATTAAAAAATGCAGCAGTATCTTCAGGAGGGTCAGTTCATGCAGGTGAGGTTTGTACAGCGTTGCTCAGCAGGAAGCTGATCAGACTGGTCCAGAATTGTTAAACCATGGGAAAAGTTTTTCAAATCCATTTATTTACATTTGATGGAAAAAAACAGCTGGAAACATCATCATTCTTAATGTGATGAAGAAAATAAAAAAAAACAAATGAAATAGTTCAGAAAATTTATTTATTTATTAGTCTTCATGATCTGGAAGTTTTCTTTTCCAAACGATTGTTAAAAGCATGTGTTGGAAACCTCATGCTCTGCAATCCCTGCTATACCAAAGCTACTTTACTTTGTAGCTACTTTACATTACTTTGTGCTGTGGCTTCTGTGCCCTGTGGCAGAAACGTCACAGCCATTGTTTGATGTACTACCTGTAGGTAAAAGACTAAGCTCAAAATCATACAGTTCCCAAATGACCTGAGTGGGCTCAGTGATGTTATACTGATTTTACAGTTTCACATTTTCCACATGTACTCAGTACAGAAATCAAGTTCAGCTCATCCATCCAGCAGTCAAAATAATGTCTAAAATTAATGTCTTAAAACAATTGCTCATGATGTTGATATAATCACATACTTTTTTAGTGAGTTCATCATCATTCTGACTTGCTAAGTTCAAATTTTGAGAAAAGAAGTCATTATTTTGACCTATTTTGAACCTGAAACAAAGAAGTATTTAAAGTAAACTTCTCTCCTATCTGGCAAAAATGGGCTTTCATACAAAAAGTACATGAGTAAAACACTGTGCTGGTCATATGTTTATTACAAAGTTGCACCTGTGTTCATTTGCTTGATGCTAGGTGGTTCTTAGTAGATAACCAGCTAAACTGGCCACCCCCACCCGCGCAAAGTGTCAGTAGACTGTTAGTAATAAGTGCCTCTCTTAGTAAATCTGCTCCTTAATGGTTGTTCTCCTAAAATCCCTAAGGAGAAATAGCATTAGACAGAAAAGAGACTTGAGATACAGGAGAGATAAAGGAGAGATGAGAGTTCAGTTGCAGAATAAAGCTGAGTGTTATTATCTTGCCACATTTAAGCACAATGTGAGACTTTATTGAGATCTTTACTGAAACTCAAGCAGAGACACATAAGATCACTGGGCTCTTGTTCTCTGGATAAAAATATCTGAGCAGCAGGAGACTTCAGCAAAAGTCTGATTTAGAAAAAAAAATGATTTTAAGGTGATCTGGTTATTCCTGTGGGTCAGGCAGCAGATTCTGTAACATTTCGTGTAATAACTTTCTGTGAGGCAGCTTTTCTGGAGATCTGACATCTGGTTCCTACCATCACTACAGTGAACAATTCGAGCTTTCACATCAAACCACTCTAAACAACTTTATTTACATAAACAGTTTATCTCAAAATTGCATATTGTTGTGTATTTCTAGTTGTATATATGCCTGTAGATGTAGTTTTTTGTACAAAGTCTTCTTTTATATTGTATCTTTTTTGTTATTATAGCTGTCCTGTGTTATGTGACTTTTACAGGCTGCTAAAATTCCTTCAGGATCAATAAAGTATCCATCCATCCATCTATCTATCTATCTATTTATCTATCTATCTATCTATCTATCTATCTATCTAGGCTAAATACATTTGGTGCTGCTTATGAACTGTGTGGTGAGAAGCACTCCTTCCGACGTGGTAGAGGTTCCTAAATGGTTCTTGGTTTGAAAGTACAGTCCTAGGAAAGTACAGAACATTTACATTATGTGAAAGTTCTTTAAACTCTAAAATGCTGCTTGGACATCTCATTCAGAACAATGGTTTATCAACTGAAAGATTCTTTAGGAAGCTAAAGGTGGTTCTTCTATGGCAGCATTCTAAAGTTCCCAAATAAGATCTCAACACATTACAACCAGAAAAACAAGGTCAAACAAAGGAATTTGACTTCAACCAGTGTCCTCCAAACAGAAAAGCTCTCGGAAAAAGTCTTTCCTAGCCGAACACATGCTCTTATTTTTGTCGGTCTGCGCTTTGACACGAAGATCATGCTCGGAAATCAATGAGAACATTAATAGAATATCTCGCTGGCCCCACTCCCTCTCTCACCCCTGACTGAGCTGACCATGCCCGGCGTGTTTGAGGCAGACAGATGCCACGGTGCTGAGTTATTGATCAGGGAGAGTTCCGTCCTCCATTCTGTCAATCCAGCCGTGCCCATAAACACAGAAACGGAGCGAAAGAAAGCGGCTGCCTCCAAAGCGCGGGAGATGAAAAATCATCCACAGATGGCAGAAGCTTCCCTGAGAGGAATAGCAGTGAATATACTGGAGATGCCTTTCTTTTTTTTTTCTTTCTCTCTTTTTTTCTTCTTTTTTTTTTCTTTTCACTGGGGCTGTTTAGTTTTGAATTTCAGGAGCCGACTTTGGCTTGTAAACTATTTTTCTTCCCTCTCTTCTTTTTTCTCCGCTCCTGTTTTCTATCGCTGGCTTTATTTTCTCCACCTCAATGCTCTTTTTTTCCTCGCACTAGGTCAGCTGGAGTATATCCATCTCTCTGCTCCCTTTGTGGCGGTGAAAAATAAGGAAGTCAACTTGACAGCGGTTCTGTGGCCGAGCCAAGTGGGAACCGTCACCTACATCTGGTGGTTTGGGAACAACTCAGAGGTACTGTATTCTCTCTCAGCCTTCATGCATCATACGCTGTGTCTTTGTAAGGCTGAGAGTGGGATTTGGTTTAAAGGTGCAGCGAGTAGAAAAGCAAATGTCTGACTGTTCATATCTCCTATGGTACCAGTCAAAAGTTTGGACATGCATACTCATACCCATTTATTAAAGCTATAATCCGCTCAGGCCCATGTGTTAGTGACTTTACCACATTTAAGGGGTGTTAGGCACGATGCAAAGCAGCAAAAAAGTGTAATATGATCACACTTAGTACTATGTACAAAAGTCCAGAGACTGTCCTTTATTTATTTAATTACCAGTCCAAACAGCCATTAAGTACAGATAATACATTTTCAGAAACATATACATTTCTTCCAGTGTTTAGCATGTGCAGCCTTTATTGCAGCTTTCCTTCTTTTCAGAAGACTTGTTTTCAGGTTGTTAAATGAAATCTGCAGGGATATATTTCCAAAAATTCCAAAGATCAGTCTTAGAAACTGGTTATATTTTTTGCTTCTCATGATCCAGATCTTCCCAAAAACATTAAGAGATGTGAGGGTCTGGACTCTGGGGTGGTCAGACTGTTCTGAAAACACCAGCAGCTTCTTTGTTTGATTTGCACATGTTCTTTTTTTCTGTTTCCTTTTCTCAGTAAGAGCTTCTTAACAGCTACACATCCTTTCAGACTCATAGTGTTGAGTTGTCTTCTCACAGTGGAAGGATGGACAGAGCTTGATTTTCTCCTCTCTCTCAAAGATGAAAGCTTTAAGTACTATTTACAACGGTTTCTAACATGGATTAGATTTTAGAACCAGAACTACTGGTTTTATAAATAAAAGGTCTTTGAGTGCTTTCAGAAACTGGGAAGTACCAGTTTTCCAACATAACAGATAATGTGAAATTCCACCTTTTTCACTAGTGAGAAGTGATAAACTTGGCAGTGAATGAACACAGCTTGTTGGCTCAAACACTTTAACAAGGACAGAAATTCCAATAATTAGCCTTTAGTGAGACACACATAGTAATTACGGTTATATAGTAATTCCTAATCTAAAATCCATTAAAGATTTAAATAAAAACTATTTGATTGAATTTCAACAAAAAAATTAATTAAAAAAAACATTGGGAAATAATTATGTGTGCAGACAGCAGGTTCATTATTTCTATTTGTATTAAATAAACTTCAAGCATTTATGTATAACATTTATGTATTTATCAGGGATGTGCAAGGGCACTACTGTGCCAGTATTTGAACTCTGAAATCACTGTCACAGGAAGACAGAGAAAATACTTAAAATACAGTTAAACAGCGATTTTATGCTTTAAAACGACTGGTAAAGTTGACAGCTTTGCTCGTAAATATGTATATTATTCTTTGCTACCGTGAAACATAAACATGTTGCTCAGGACACAATGTTTAGGATGTGACTGAGAGATAGTGTGGGCAGCACTAGTACAGTTTTATCACAAACTAGGCTAACTGTAGCTGACGTTAGCCTGGTTTACAAACAATGAAAATATATTTCTCTTACAAACTAACATGTGCTTCTTCCAATGAGGAGAAAAGATGGTAGAAGAAGACAAGTCCTCATCAGCATCCATGTTTTCCAACATTTACCTATTAGCACTGTTGGCTCATCAGCTCATCTGAAGAGGCAGCATCTGTTACTCGAAAACATACCAATTTTCTTCGGTTCTTTTGTAGTAATAAAATGTGTTTTCAGTTCTATGCTGCTAAGTTTTTGTGCAACACCAGTGCTTTCACCTAAAAAGGAAGGCCTACAGCCTTACATTAAAGTCAACCAAAGTCTGTTAAGTTGAACAGTGTTAGAAGAGGGAAAATGCTCATTTCTGCAGAGCTGTGACTCAAAAGAAAACCATTTTAGATCGTGTTGTTAAGGTTATGTAAAATATGCATTCATTCAGACACGTCCAAACATTTACTGGTCTTGTATATATAGGAATCCGACAAGAGATGGGCTTTTAAAAAGCCATTTTGGAAGTCAAACTTGCTTCAATGATTGATGTTGGTCAGCAAGGTTCTATTGAGTGCAGACACTGTGTTGTGGTTTAATACCATTTTAGCATAGCATAACACCTTGACCTTTAACAAACTAACAATGCAGTCATGATGTATGTGTGACAGTTAGACATTAGAATAGTGTTTGTGTGTGTGTGTTTGCCATTGGATGTGTGTTTTCCCTCAGTGTCCTACCATATAAATAAATGTAGCCGTTTTGTCACTAACCAGACTGACAAGCCATTCTCATGGGATGCAGCCCTCTGTCCTTCTCCTGTCAATTTCTGTCTATGTCTTTCTCTCACCCTTGCTTACATAACCCCAGCCGGTAATCACACTGGAGGGAAGTGTGGCATTCACGTTCCCAAGGGAGGGAATCAACATCGTCACCGTGCAGGTGGCAGCTGGGAATACTATCCTGCAAGACAGGAAAACCATCGCCGTCCACGGTGAGTGGCTCTTTACTGACAGCTAGCTAACATGGGAATTCTTCTGTCAGTATTGTGCTTTTACTCCTATCTCTCTCTCTCTCTCTCTCTCTTTCTCTCTCTCTCTCTCTCTCTCACCTATGAAAATAAATCTGTAATTCAGTCTATGGGACACATTCACAAACAGAGCAGTCTTGATGTTCGTGTATGTATTTTAATTTGAATACATATAAAAAATTTAATTTAAACATTTCCCTTTACTCTAAATATAGGATGTAACTGATTGACCAGGACATACTCTTCCAATTGGTTCTTCTTGTTTGGGAAGAAGAACAAAAGTACAGACAAATTCAGACTTTAAGATGGTTGTAACTATTGTTTTAGCTATGCAACATACTTCAGTCCATTTTTATACATAACAGTATATTATACAGTATCAGAAACCGCAATTTGATGCAAATGTGTAATATTTAATCACGCAATTGGCGCAGTGCTATTTGATGAGATATACACATCCATATTATACTATATTATGTTTGTAGCTCTATGCAAACTAAAGAAGCAAATGTTTGATGACATATTGTTAAGCTGTTTGTGCTTCATGTATGTGCTTCCTGTTTTACTTATTATATTCTATTATATTCTTATATATTGTTCTACATATCCATTATTTTGTCCATTGTTTTCAGAATATTTCCGGTCCCATCTTTTGGCCTTCTCCTCCAATCTGGATGATCACAACCCTGATGTGTCCGAGTGGAGGCTGGACGTTAGCAGAGTCATCAAAAACTCCATGGTCCAAGTGAGTTTAGAGAATATTCTACATAAATCAGACCCAACTCGAATTATAGCACCAAGTTTAGTTTCCAAATTCAACCCACGTCCATCAAAATTATGTCCCAATAAGCAAGCAAATATACCCCCCATTTCTAATGTCTAATGGGCCTTAGTGGATGTCACTACCAGCACAAGTTACTCCAATGTGCCAGATTAAAAGTAAGGAGAAATAATATAATAACAATGTGATGGGGAACTAAAGCAGGTGTAAACGTAGTCCAAAATTTAGAAACCCAAATGTAAAATTTGAACCCGACCAGAGCTCAATAAACACTTTAGAAACCAATTACAGTCAAATTAGATTGAATTGTGAAAATTAAGCATCGCTTGGTTCAGACAAATATTTCAAGCTCTGAGATCTCTTTTTTGTTATTGATGAAGTGTATCATCATATGAGACTAGACTTCTATCTCTGCCTTGATCTTAGTAAGCCTGAGCTGAAAAGTCATACAGATCCAGAAACAGTTAGCTGCTGTGACTAACAGTTTCTTCCCCCAGTTCAGGACTTTACTAAATCATATATAAAGCTCTTGTCTGACCCTTGGATCCATTACAAACGGGCAGTGAATGGATCATTTTCTCCCTGGAACACGTTTCTGCTTCACTTTAATTCCTCATCACGTGACTTTAGCCAGAGGAAGGAACGAATGAGCTGTCCCGCAGGAGAACTTTATGATGCTACGTGACAGATGGGGGAGGCCTACTGTACAACTGAAGCCCATTTCAAATTGAGTTCTTGAACTTTCTGCTGGGGGGGTTCATGGACATTCATTCTAACCAACAAGGACATACACTGGGCAGTCAGTTAGTATGATAAATCAGTCATTCCTTGAAGACAGCTTCACATGAAATGGACATTTCAAAGCATAGTTAGAAGCTGCATCATATGAATGGCTTGCGATGCTATATTGTGGACAAAAATTGGCCCACTGTGCTGGATTGCACTTTTTTAGGATGAAAAGAATGGGCTATGATGGTAGATGCGATAATAAAGAAACAGGACCTGACAGATTAAGCCTAGTCCTAGGCTGGAAGGGCTTTTCAATGGACACATATGTTAAGTTTGAGCCACAGGAACAAGACCACTCTAGGAACTCAAACAGAAACCTAATGTGAACTCAGACACCTTTAGTCTATTTACACTAAGGCTATGCTGGACGGATGGCTATGCAATAGTGAAGAAACAGGACCTGACAGATTAAGCCTTGTCCTAGGCTGGACAGGCTTTTCAATGGACACTTATATGTTAAGTTTGAGCCACAGGAACAAGACCACTCTAGGAACTCAAACAGAAACCTAATTTGAACTCACACATCTTTAGCCTATGTACACTTAGGCTGTGCTGGACGGATGACTATGCAATGGTGAAAAATCCTAATGTAAATGAAAGTTTAGATGCATTGAAGATGGACTACTACCCAATCTCTGTTAACACTTCAGAAGGTGGTTTATGACACGAATGAGCTAAGTATAAAGAAATCTGTTCAAGCCTCGTAATTTTTAGTGCGAAGGGTATAAAAATATACTCAGCTCATGGTCCAATTCGATTTAACAATACTGGATTTATGATTTAATATTCCCATGATATTTTCAACAAAATTTGTTAGACTGTTAGCTATCTTCTGAATTGATTAGCCTAGTTATAGTTAAGAATTTAAAACAAAACCAGGTGCTTCAGTAGGGTATGTTAAATTGCCTCTGGAAGCAAAATCAGCACAAGAACTGAGCGTCAGGAGCTTCATAAATTGGGTTTCTGAGGCTGAGCAGCTGCACACAAGCCAAAGAACACCATGTGCAGTGCCAAGCATGGCTGGAGTGATGTAAAGCACACAGCCACTGGACTCTGGAGCAGTGGAAATGTGTTCTCTAGAGTGATGAATGATGCTTCACTATCCGACAGTCTGATGGATGGAGCTGGGTTTGGTGGATGCCAGAAGAATGCTACCTACAGGAATGCGTAGTGCCAACTAGTGGAGGAGTTTAGGCCCAGCCCCCTAGTTCTAGTGAAGAGTATTGTTAATGCTACCACATACAAAGACATTTTAGACAATTAAATGCTTCCAAGTTTGGGGAAGGCCCTTGCCTGTCTCTGCATGACTGTGTCCATGTGAAGCGAGGTCCATATTAATGTGGTTTGATGAGTTTGGTATGCAGGAACTTCAGTGGCCTGCAAAGAGCCCTTACCTCAACCCCAGTGAACGGTTTTTGGAATGAATTAGAATGTCAGTTATGAGCTTCTTGTCCAGCATCAGTGCCTGACCTCACTAATACTCGTTTGACTAAATGGGCACACGTTCTTACAGATGCACTCTCAAATATATATATATATATATATATATATATATATATATAGACAAGCTACCTTTTCATAAAGGCAGTGTTCAGCATACAGTTACTGCTACATTTTTAGGAAAATACTTTTAGAATACTTTTCCCCTAAATAAAAAAAAACATAAAATCCTCAAAGGAAACACCATTGATGCTTGTTTTTAAATCAGCACACTGCATGTAGCGAACATGCCTGTTAGATGAACCCCTAAGAGGACCTCAGTTAACAGTTTCTTTACCAAAAGTTATTCTGGCTAAAGCCTGAGTAGACTGATAAATCAGTGTGATCAGTTATTAATCTCAGTGTTACTGAGCTCTGCTAAAGCCTGAGTAGACTGATAAATCAATGTGATGATCAGTTATTAATCTCAGTGTTACTGAGCTCTGCTAAAGCCTGAATAGACTGATGAATCAATGTGATGATCAGTTATTAATCTCAGTGTTACTGAGCTCTGCTAAAGCCTGATTAGACTGATAAAACAATGTGATGATCAGTTATTAATCTCAGTGTTACTGAGCTCTGCTAAAGCCTGAGTGGACTGATAAATCAATGTGATGATCAGTTATTAATCTCAGTGTTACTGAGCTCTGCTAAAGCCTGAGTAGACTGATGAATCAATATGAAGATCAGTTATTAATCTCAATGTTACTGAGCTCTGCTAAAGCCTGAGTAGACTGATGAATCAATATGAAGATCAGTTATTAATCTCAGTGTTACTGAGCTCTGCTAAAGCCTGAGTAGACTGATGAATCAATGTGATGTTCAGATATTAATCATAGTGTTACTGAGCTCTTTTGAGGGATGTTCAAACTAATAATTTCGTCAGTAGAGGACATGTTTGCAAGTGATAAGCTTAGGAGCAGTGTTGTACTGTGGGGATTGTGGGAACAGTAGACTGAAGAAGCCAGTTAGATTAAGCACAGCAGTGTGTAACTGGTTCTAACAGAATCAGACTGTATGAACTCTGTGTGCGGCATATGGTCACAAAATTGGGTTTTTGTAAATTGTTGTACAGATGTGAGGTGTTCTGCTGCTTGTGTGTGTGGCTGTGAAAATCGTTTCAAGTCTTTGGACAAAATAAACCCTGTTTTCATAATCGTGCTTAAGCAATCGTAAAAAACTGTAAACTAGTAATACCAGATAACTACCACAGTACAGCTGTGACATGTCAGATAGCTGAGTAGCCAGCCAGGTTAACCAGGAACTTGGGATGTGAGCATCCGTGGCCTTATCTACTTCTGTCATTGATTTTCCATCAAAGTTATTCCATCTCCTTTGAGTCTTCCATAAACATTTCGGTTATGGTGTGGCTCACTTCCGTTGTGTTGTGACTGGCTTTGCAGTGTTTCTGAAGTTGCCTGTGTGTTTTTTTGTTTTTTTTTGCAGTGCATTTGTAAAATGTAGCTCTGATGGAGTTTTCTGTATTTGCAGCACATTTGTGAAATGCAGTTCAGGTGTAGTCATTTTGATAAAAGTGTTTCCCATGTGTGCAGCACGTTTATGAGTTTGAACATGTTTTTAATTGTCCTGTGAATAGGGTCTTGTCGGCCACTGTAGTGTGTGAGTATTTTGAGCTTTTAATGCGGCTTAACCAATCACATTTTAGGACAAGGATGTGTTTTGTGACAGCATTTTTGCCATGGCATTATTTTAGAAGATTCCGGAAGAGAATTTCTTTGGATTTGCATGGGATTTCTATCTATCTAGAGACACATCTAGGTGGTCAGGTGTAAATGGAATGCGGGTAAATCTTATCTAGACATTATCCGGAAATTAGATGCATGAAATGACAAGTGTAGAAAGGCTTCTTGATCCCAGCCAGTATTCATAAGCTGGGCCACAGAAACTGAAGACTGCCAGAGCTTCTTTGATATGTCCCTTTGTTAACCTACAATAGCCTGAACCAACAGAGCATGGATCCAGGATCTAACACTTGCCATAATTGGCAGGATCTTCGCTTAGCCACAATGCTGAATTCCTCTCAGGCTGTCCAATATATTGCAGTATAGAGTTACATAAGCACCCTCCTTCAAGCTGTCTTTCCCATTTCCAAGATGTCACAATACTAAAATCCAGGAGCTGTTAATATGCATGATCACATATCGTGAAAGTACGGAGGCAAAAAAGCTCTTAAACCCAAACCCGCAGTAGTCATGTCAGCCATATGTGTGCTACGCTCCACTGGCTGAGTCATAACGTGGCTAATGAGTTTTCAGCAGACCACATGGGGCTGTACAGAAGGTCGGTAGCAGCGCTCTAACCTTGTGATTTGACCTGAACCTAATGTCTACTTTCTGGTTTAATTGCTTCACTGGCTGTATTATGTCAATGAAATAATAACAGGCTGGATGATGATGTAATAGTAATCTCATGCCTAGGTCATGGCTTTTTATATTTCTGCCAGAGGGTGTTCATATTTAAAAAGTCCACCGATTTCTTAGAATTTCTGCATAATTCAATCTCTGAGATGTAAACAGAGTCATTCAGAGTGGGTTGATGTGAAATTATTCATTGTAGAGAAACGTACAGAGCAAATGAACCAGCTGCTGCAATGTCTACAAATATTTTATTTTATATTTTACTTACTATTCAAAATGAACAGTCATCCTACATGCCTTCTGAGTTTTATATTATCTCTCTCTTTTTTATTTATTTTTTTAATTTGCCAAATGGTCCATATTGACTTCTTTTACATTAACTTGTATGAAGTTATGAATTAAGTTGTGAGCCAGGACAGTTTAGGGTGTGTGGTTTAAAATGCATCCACAGCAGACCGGTACGAGCACTGCTTTGTCACTTCTGTGGTTATACTGTAGACAAAGGCACTTTCAATCCTGCTATAAAATTGCTTTTTCTGCTCATTCATAGGCCACTGGAGTGAGTCCGGAGCAGCTGTTGGTCACTGTGTTGCCAGGACTGCCCACGGCCGCCGAGTTCTTCCTGCTACCAGACAAAGAAGTGACAGAGGGCAAACCAGAGAAAACGACAACACATTTAGACCAGGTACTGACCACAGCCCCCATTTCTTTCAACCACTACAGAGATTTAGAAAATAATATAATAGCTTTACTGTCATTGCACAGGTACAATCAGATTAGTTCTGTGGCTCCACATTGCTTATATACATTTTAAGTAAGATCAAGTACAGAGCAATAAGGGCAGAACTGGTCATTCATGCAATACCATGGCAGGTATGTGTCTGCTCATAGCAAAAATACATAGAGTGCTATGATATATTTAGACCATTGTTATGCTGATCTTCTCACTTAGATGCACATTCACTTTGACTTTGCTAAGATGTAGGTTTGTACGCAGGTTACAATCAATTTAGGTAACCATGTGGAAAATAACTGTGGTAAATAGTTAAATCAGGGGGAGGGGTGGGGGGGTTGCAGATATTGCAATAATAATAATAAAAAAAGTAATACTAATTATAATAGCGATAATTTTAATGCCAGTAATCTTACATCAGCCCCTAAATGAAATAAATAAGACAATAATACCACAGATCAGTAAGTTTTAGTATATGTCATCTTTAATTTGGCCACAAAACAAATCTCATACAAACTCTCGAAACACATCTCATACAAACTTTATCATTTGAGGCCATTTTGTATGAGGTGTCTAATTGTAAGCAAGCTGAGACATTTTTCTGAGACCTGGCACTGCTTTATCTGATGTCTGAAACCTGATGCTGTGGTCAAGTATACACCAGTACATAGACAGCTTTTTGTACAGGCATGATATCTGCCTGCTACAATAGCACACAGTGTCACCCTCCAGTCTCATCTCTTCTAGGTACAGTAAATATCTTCTTACTGTAGGATGTCACTCAACATGTTTAGAAGTGTAGTTACACTCATATGTGGGAATGGTAACGTATTGCTATGGTTTGCATGAAATATATCATACATAAATGACATTTTTGGAAGTGAGTGAATAAGTTTTTACCATTATTGGGGGCTATTCTATGGTAACCATCACCAGCCGCATGCCGACAAAGAAGTAGTGACTTGGATTAGTTAACTGTTTAATAGTATCATTCTGGTCAGAAGTGGGTAGAGCTGCATAAACCCAGCTTAAACAGCTTAAATCATCTTCAGTAAGAATGAAACTAGAATATCAGGCCAGACCAATTTCAGGTACTGAGTCTTCTATGAAACCGCAATGGAGCTTCTTAGTGTGTCCAGCATCGATCAGTATAGAAACTGAAGTTTTTAGGTGCTGTTCTTTTATGTTTAATTGCTTTTGTTTAAAACAAAATGCTGTGGCTGGAAAGCAAGAGGTGTCAGCAACAGGTAACACTTTATGATAGGGCAGTGTTCGTAACACTACATGACACATTTTAAAGCTCATCATAACAATTGGCATAAACATGCATAAACATTTATAAAGGCTTATTTATGGAAGCCCCAATAAAATGTGTTCCTGCGTCTGAGTTCTGCTTTATTTCTTTTTTTTTTTCTTGTACAACACACCAGAAACAGCCCAAAATATTTCTAGCATCACATGTACATTATATTGCCTATATAATAAAGTCCAGCAGCACTGCTGTGCCTGATCTACTCATACAAGCGCAACAGTAACATTTTGTAAAGGATGCATTGAATCTCTTTACCTAAGAGACAGAACATGCAAACTTTTGTTCAACCAGCTTATGTTGGCAAGCTGTGTCGTATTATCAGCATTATGCCGCTGTGACAAAGTGTTCATAAGTTCACCCCAGAAAGGGTCATGATACAGCCTAATGTCAGGAAAAATGGCAAACTGACATCAAAGCTGGGAAATGCAACCTTCAAATGATGCCTATTGGAATGAGTGTTTACAAATGTTTATATCAGTTGTTTTAAAAGATTTATTTAAGTGTCATATAGCCTTATGAAGAATTCATACAGTAAAGTGTAGAGCAGTAAAATGTAGAGCAGTAAAGTGTAGAGCAGGGTGTTACTTTCCTCACAAATATGCTTGTGCATACGTAAAAACATTCCCTGGAAATATTCAAAGAAGTACAAATCCATCAAAGCTGTACTTACGTACATACAGCTGAGTAAATGTAACTAGTGTCTACCCACCTTTGAGTGGAACCAAGCAGATGGGATGATTAGAGTTGGAAAGAATTTCTGTCTTCCTCCAGCAGGTGTCAGTGTTGGGCCATGGCAAAAGCCATTACAGTAACACATACCCAACAGCCTGCTCAATTAATTTAGTTAGAAGAAACATAGTGGCTTACTTAATAAAACGAGAAAGGAAAAAATGATGGCTTCAGTTAGAGACACACACAGTTGTATTCCTCTTTTATTCTGGCTGGTTTAAAAGCAGCCAGAATTGATGGGAATGCACATAAATCCACTTTGGCTTCGGTGGAAATCATATGATTTACATGGTTAATATATTTTAAAAGCAGAGGGCAGCACAGTGGTGCTTTTTATTGCATGTAGTCCAGTGCGCCCCCCTCCCCCCCACACAATATGCTTCCACCAAAGACAACAACATGATGGAATATAAGATAAAATTCTCTATATTAAAAAGCAGCGCAACAAACATAGAGATGGGAGAGTGTGAGGGGACACAGAGTGCATGTCATCACTATTCTGTGCTCTGTGTCCCACGCAGCCCACCAGCATTAAATAATGGATGATATTATGGACAAAAACAAGACACCACAGTCACAAGAGATCATTTAGATCTCATCAATCACTTTTCAGGTTTTGGATAAATTGCATTATAAATGTCTTCTCTACTGATGTAGAAATGTCAAAACAAAAATGTATTTATTTCAGCACGTATCGTCTAGTCGTGTCCGCTCGCCTCTGTATTTTCCAAAAGTTAGCAATTTTAATGATGTCTTGTCTCCACCTACACTTGGCACAACCACGTCATGTTATATATCAGCGAAAATGATTCTTAAATATGCAAATATGTGCATGTTTAAGCAGATAATGTCTGATTTGCATATTATTATTTTTTGTTAAACTTCCAATGCAAAAAATATTTGTAAGAATATCACTAATCAACAAGTAAAGATTCCTTGTGGAATATTTTGAAATGTTACCCTATTCACCTATAATTGCCTTAAAATATTGTGCAAGGGTGTTTGTAATACAGCCTATGAGAGTATAATAATAATAATAATAATAATAATAATAATATTAAGAAGAATCATCATCATCACTATCATCATCCTCTAGATTACCCGGTGTCTGTCTCATGAAGGACATTCATCGTAGACAGGGTTCCTGATTAAGTAAGCATGGATTACTTGCTTTACGGCATTGTTTAACAACTTTTTGTGTTAACTTAGGTTTAGTTACTCAAGCTATGATTAATCCTTGTGCATGTGCATGACAATGAGTGTGTTTACATGCACTTAATAATCCAATAACTGCAGAAAATCAGATTTTGTTAGTAATTTGTGTGTGTATATATATATATATATATATATATATATATATATATATATATATATATATGTATGTGTGTGTGGGGGTGTGTGTGTGTGTGTGTGGGGGTGTGTGTGTGTGTGCATACACAAATAATTGACAGTGCAAAGTAACTGCATACTGCATAGCATAGTAATAAGTAGCTGAGTGGATGTTAGCCTATTATGACATCTTACTTTCTCCATTTATTTTAACCAGTTGTTATCATTTTTAGAGCCTTTTTTAAAAGCATAACTCATAAGCCTCAGCAAAATTAAATATCATGAAAATGTATAACGTATTTTGATGTTATACTTTTTGCCACATCGTAGTGTGAAATTGTTTTTTGGTCCCTCTTTTAATGGACCTGTGTGTGCATAACTGGCATTGAACGGTAAAAAAGGGACAGCTTCTTCCAAAAGCTCACAGAATATAAATCTTCATTCAAAGCTACCATGTTGGCGGTACGATATGTGGATAACCTTATTACAATTTCTAATAGATTTACTGACCCCAGTGCACAGCATGAAAAAAGTAATTATTCAAGGAATGGTCTAATTTGAAATAGGTAAGGCACATAAAGTGGAGGGAGAGAGAGAGAGAGAGAGTTACGAATGAGTCACATTAAGATTCAATTGGTAAATGAAGCAGAGACAATTAATGAAGCCTGGAAAGGAAATAAAAAATGAACCCTTGTAAAGGCATTAATGGAGATTCACATAGACTGTATGTCCTTTTGTGAACTTTTGGCCTTTGATAAAGGTCAAAACAGATTGAAGTGTACCAGCCTTTAGTAAAAGGTACCATAATAAAAAAAATCCCTGATTAAAAAAGATGGTTCCTTTCTGGATGAAACAACATTTTAGCTAAGCACTGCTGTCAGGATTTGAGCTTAAGCAGGTATTATCAGCTGTTTGAGACAGAGATATTAGAGCAAAATGAGTTCCCTCCCATCTCGTATATCTTTATTTCTGACTCAAGGCGACGTGGTTGATATATGTCAAAAGGCACTGCCGTGACTGTTGGGACGCAAACAGTATTTCAAGTAAACCTAGTCTGCACTGTAAAGCAGCCATATATCAACCCTCAAACTCAGATCCAACATTAATGCACAACATCAAACCTGCCATTTTTCATGTCGACTAAGGATTCGGTCTCAAGGTTGGCATCAAAGTATCCTGAAGGTGTAGAGTGTCAGTAAATAGAGGGCTGGGTTCAGTAAACATTGCCCTTGCAGTTGTGTTCTACCCCGTCTGTCCTACATCTGATACTGATGTACCTGCAGTGGTGCTGTATTGGGTGGGGGGGGTGGGGTGGGGGTGGGGGTGTTGAGGGCCAGTGACTGACAGGGGCCCTAAAACATTATTAGAACATTAGAATTTTTTTGAATATAAATGATTTACCTGCCATTATTAAAATAATGTTTTATTTGTTGTGTACTTATAAAACTCTCTTTCATTTCTTGTTTTTTTTTGGTAAAAAGTAAACTTCCAAAGAGCTTCTGTACTGGCCACACCACTCTCCCCGCTTTTACATGAAGTGGTTCAGGCGCAAATGGTACTTGCTAGCAGTAAATTGCGAGTGAGGAGTGTCGATTGAGCATCATGTCTCACCTTCCCAAAAAATTATTTTAGAAATTTCGTCAGACCACAGGACACTTTTCCATTTCACCTCAGTCCATCAAACAATGGTTTTCGTAAGTGTTCCTGAGCCCATGCAGTGATTTCCACTACAGAATCGTATCTGTTTTTAATGCAGTGAAGGCCCAAAGATCGTGGCCAGCCAATATTGGTTTTTGGTCTTGTCCCTTGCATACAGAGATTTCTCTGGGTTCTCTTAATCCTTTAATGATATTATGTACCGTACATGATAAAATCCCCAAGTTCTTTGCTATTTTACATTGAGAAACTTAATATTGAGATTCTTGAATTGTTGCCTGCGTCTTTCACAGAGTGGGTTACCCCTCACCATCTTTACTTCTGAAGGTCTCAGCCTATCTGGGTGCTCTTTTTATACCCAATCACTGTTGCCTATTAACCTTATTAGTTGTAAGGTATTAGTTGTCCATATGTGTTTTTTTTTGTTGTTTTTTTTTAAGCATTACACAAATTTTCCAGGCTTTTGTTGTTCCTGTCCCAACTCTTTTGAAACATGTTGCTGGCATCAAATTCAAAAAGGGCATTTACTTTTCAAAAACTATACATTTTCTCAGTTTCAACATTCAGTATGTTGTCTTTGTATAATTTTCAATTAAATTTATGTTTTTTACAGCATCTCAGCTTTAAGGGTGGTATTTGTGTAATGCATACTCAGTACTGTATTGACGAACAAAATGTGAAAACAATATAAAATCTTGAATTCTCAGCAAATAAGTAGAAATTGTGCACTAAAATCAGCAGAAAATGGCATATTTAAATTTGTTCCCTGTAGAGGATGTTATTTTCACTTATAAAATCAACAAAACGTTCAAACTTTTGCATACAACTGTAACAACAGTAAGTACTGACATTGTACATAACCTAGTCAAACAAATAATATGTAAGTTGATGACAGGTAACACTAAGCTGTCCTGCCCTGGACTTGCATGTTGTTTGTGTTATTTTAACCATGATTAACACGTTTTGTGTTCATGTTTACCAGTTCAGTCTGTACTGCTGTAATAAAAGTGAGCATCTGGAGAATGCCTTGGTAAAGGATGAACCTTTAAAATCTTAAAAAACAAAAATAATTATATCCATATATCCATCCAGCTTTAATATCGGCCAAGGTTATTGGCTAATCGGTCGGGCCCTAATTATTTTTCTTTTTCACTTTACTATTTATATAGTGTATGGAAAAGTTTGGGCAACAAAACATGTCATTTGATCAGGGGTGCCCAAACTTTTGCATAAGAGTGCATTTGTGAGAAATTCAATCTAATATGTTTGTGTTTAATTTTATTCTGTTTAGTACTGTCACTTAATAATTATCTAGTACTTTGGAGTTTGTGCCTCAGGCTGACCTGGTTAACCCATCATAAAGGACTGTAAAAGAATACATTACAGAGTCTTTGGTCTGAGACTGTTTTGCTACTACTCAAGTAGTTATTTGGTTGCTTCTTTTGCTTTTACTTGATTCATTGTTTTGTTGAGCTAACAAGACTTTTGGCTGAGTATCGTTTAGGCTACTTTAATCTGTGAACAGCACAATCAGTTGAAAATGTTGTCTTCCTCTGTCCAGCTCTTGGAGTTAGTTCTGGCTGCCCTGAACCAGAACCAGGTCCAGTTCACATTAAGACCAGGAGTTCAAATCACAGTCTATGCTGCACACTTATCTGCAGGTGAGTAGTTGACCATCCCCTGACCATATATATAAATGACGAACATTTTCCTAGTTGTTTTGGGAACAACATGCATATAATGATGTTTCAGCAAATGATCATATAATGCAAATTTCTACTTGTTTCTACTTGTACATCCATTTACAAGAAAAAGAGCGTAATCATCTTCAGCACTCTAGCCTGCTGTTTAATGAAAGCCCATGTTTAGTTATGGTGTTTATTGATCTGTCATCTTGTGTTCCCCTGTAGCACCCCTAGTGGACACCAGTGAGAACCACAGCAGCTCGGCCATGCTCATGCTCCTGTCGGTGGTGGTGGTGGGTTTAGCCGTGTTCCTCATCTATAAATTCAAAAGGTAATGTGCCCAAACCTGATCCTGTGTCAGCTCCCAGAGTACCTCCACTTAGCCCCATCCATTATTAATGAACCTTCAGTAGCAGTCCAGATCAGTGAGTTCACCTGCAGCTGGACCATAGAAACCTCCAGCTGTCTTGAGTGTTACTTCAGTGCTTCTGTGTGTGGAAGACAGATAGTCTCCATAAATAGTGAACCTGCATGGAGAAAAGTAGCATAACGTAAGATAGATTACATTTTGCTTAATAAAATATTGCTTTTAATTATTTTATAGGACAAATTTTCTTCATTTTATTTCATTTTTTGTTTAACACCTTTGTGTTCATTTTTTTGTTTCATTTCATGTATATTTAGTCTCAACATTCTCTATAAATATTTAGTTTTTTGTTTTGTTATAATAACTGTTTTAAAAGTTTTATTTATTTTTTAATTTCATTTATTATATTTGTTTTTAATTCCACCAATTACTTATAAATGCCTTAATATTTATTTATTTATTTATTTACTCTTATTTACTCCAGTATTTTTAATAATTATTTTTTAATACTTATTGATTAATTATAGAACTATGGTACTATACTTCTCAAAGTATTATTTGATTCATTTTCAGTTTAAAATATCAGAAATAATTTTCAGAAAAATGTATTTTCAAAAATTCCAAAATGAACATGTACTTATGTACTTCAGCTTAACATCTACCATGAATTAAACTTACCAGAGACCAGATCAATGGGTTAGACTGCAGCTGGATGATGAAAATCTCCAGCTTTCTTGTGTGGCACTTCATTGCTGTTGTTGGAAGACACTTAGGCCCCATAAACCCTGAACCTGGTTGTCCTTCTGTAGCCAACACTTTAACCTCCTCAATCAAAAGTTAAAAGGCTAAGCTACACTGAGATCACAAGGGTTACTTATAATTTGGGCAGTGCAATTCCCCCAGGCAGTGGAGACAGACCGACCCCCCTGTCAGTTAAATATGATGGTCGGAGACGGTCTGTCAAAGCGCTGAGTGATATTTCTCACCCCGAGCTCCTGGACGGCGTTCAGATTCCTTTTGTCTAAGTTGCTTGCAGCGAATTGGAAATGTCAGTCAGCGCTGCAGACATTATCAATATTTAGCCCTTTGGGCTTCGCGAGTTGACCTTTATGAAATGTTAAATTATTGCTGCGGCACCCCCGCTCGGATGGGAGAGAAAAGAGCAGGAGGGGTCAGCAATAAGACAAGATCTAGCAGGCCGAGACTGAAAGCGAAAGACAAAAGGGGAGACGGCCTGGACTAAACACACAACAAAAAATGTTCCTGACAGCCAGGTTTCGGCGAGGCCTTTACTGCAGTAAATAAGCGCTGACAGCACTGGAGCGTTTGAGTATCATAAAACTGGTGTGTCCTTCAGAGATTAGGATCATTTCTGTCACAAATCTTTGAGGTGAAGTCCTGAGAGGAATGAGGCCTGTGGCCATGCTATGAAACTTGTTAGCATGCTACTCAAGACAAATCAAACCTTAAAGGGATTCTCCAGCTTTTTTAAAACTCACTATCACTATCTGAAGTGTATGGGGTAATAATTGAGATGCAGAAGAGGAAAATTCTACTTAAATCATGCTTGCTAGGTGTAGGTCTATTATAAGTGTGTTTTAAGTTGAGAAGTTTTCTGTTTTGTCCCTAACTTCAGGGAAACATTATTCAAAATGATCAAAATTAATATTATTGTATGGTAACTAGTCATGTGGTATGGATGTGGCAGATTCATCTGTGATTCAGCCATGTGTGCACAAACACTGTGAGGGATTTAGTCATTTTCATAATGAACTGCAAATTGTCCCTCAAGAAGAACATACGCTACTAGTCAATAGTAGCTATTTATAAAAAGATTTCTCTTTATTTTTACTATTTGCCACATTTTAGAACTATGAAAAAACACATATGGAATTGCTGCTGGAAATATTGGTCTCCTGTATTTGCAGCACAGCAGATTGGCTCCAAAACAGTGATGAGAACCGACAATTAAATTTGATTTTTTTTTTTATTTTTCCCCAATTTAGTCGTATCCACTTCCACACGCTAGTTAGGACTCCCCCAGTCACACAGTACCACCAGCACTAGGAGGGCAAAGGCTAGCACAGGCTTCCTCTGAGACCTGTAAAGTCAGCCACCCAGGGAGCGAGACCAATTGTGCTCTCTTTGACTCCTGACCACAGATGGCTGTAGCATCACCAGGGATGAAACCTGCGATCTCCTGATGATAGGGCCAATACTTAGATGATTGCGCCACTTGGGAGCCCCAGACAATGAACTTTTAACAAGTTAGAGGTTCACGGTATTTAGGATGATGTAATAATTGTGGTTGGACATTTTCCTACTGTATGTTTCACCATAAAGTAGTTCTAAATAAATGCTGATCGTGTATATGCAGAAAACAGTCTTTATTTTGCATAACCATTTTTTTAACTTTTCTTTATCCTTTAGAAGTAAACAGGCTGTTTTTATTATCTTTAAGACTGACATATGTAAATGAGCTCTGTTCTGATTGGCTGCTTTGTATTTTGCCTCATTCAAAAAACAGTACATGCTAAAAAGCTCCCAATAACTTCTCTGTGAATGAGATAAACTGCTGAACTGATGTATACATGAAAATGTGTTGGCTTCTGTGACATCACTAAAACAACTGAATCAAATGGGCTGTTTTGGCAGATTAGTTTCTGTCTATGGGCTGCATGGACTCTGGAGTGAAAAGCACATTTAGAAACTACATAGATTAACTCTTTTATTTCACAACAACAAGGAAAGTTCAGTTTTCCCAGTTATGGTCCCTTTAACCATAGATCAAATATAGATCATATATGAAGTGTGTTATGAACACTGGGGTAATCTAATAATGAATTTTCTCCTCTCCTGAGGTTCACTGGCCATCTCCTCCTCTGGCCAACTCCATTTCTAGTTTCTGTTATTTGCTGGGTGTTTACCTTCCCCCTGTATCTCATTGTAACTCTTTCCTCAAGGAAGATCCCAGGCCTCCACCTCTATGCGGCGATGCAGGACGAAAAAGAGCAAGAAATGATCCGGAGTCCAGTGAGCCCGACGGAGAGCACCCCCAGCTGCAGCTCTCAGCGACAGCTTCTCACCTCACCGGAGCCTCTGGACACCGAGGTCAACACACAGCCCATCGGTGCGTATGTGATCTCGGACTGTACGTTACAGTCAGTGTCCCGTGAGTATGTGCACACGAGCGTAGTGGTGCTCATGACATATGCTCATCTCTCCTGCAGAATCTGATCAAAAATACTATATTAATTTTTATATTGCACGTTATTTACTTATTTATTTATTTATTTACTTTCTTACTTACTTACTTATTTAACTCGCAACATGTCCCTTTACATATAGAGTCATTGAGAGCCTTGTGTTTGAACCTCTAGCTAGAAAACTTTTTTTTTTAATTTCAGTATAAGATAAAAAAACTTATGATAAGCTACAAATAGTTATGTTTTGAGTTGGTTTAGCAGTCATACTTCTTCTAAGAACAGAATTTAAAGGGACATTCCGGCCAGATTAGGAAACCCCCATATTTTGAAGGTGGGATCAGCTGCTTTGGGGTGGATTTTAACCATCTAGCAAAATACATTTGAATCATTCCCTGTACAGCCCCTAAAGCTCCACCCCAAAGCATATGCTCCTCCCACCTTCATGATATGCCGTCAAAAGGGGTTTTCCTACTCTGGCCATTTTCTCCCTTTAATGGTACTAGCACTACAGCTAGTACTGCTACTCCCATTACTATTCCTACTCATACTACTGTAATATATGGATTTACATTTCCTGGTGGAACTTCAGTGCTTGCAAGGCCAGAAAATAAATGCTTTGGTACCAAAAAAAGGGACAAAAGTGAATAAATCACTTTTGGTTCTAAAAACTGTCAACAGAAGGTGCCTGACAGATCTGAGTGGGCGAAGAATCCCAAAATCTTTGGATCTTAAAAAGCCTTTGGAACCTTGAAGCAATCTTCAGAGCGTAGAAAGCTGCTTCACCAGTTTTCTTATGTTTTAGGAATTTCCAGCAAGCCAGTGTTAATATGAGATCCACAGAAATTGCTTCTGCTAGAGTTCTTATACATTATTTGTGAGATCAGGTTGCAAAAATGAATCACTATCTGTTTTTTCTAATGTTGACTTCACAGCGGTGAGCCAGGCTTAACCCTTTTATCAGACATGACCAAGTGTTTTGAGTTCAAGGGGGACATCTGAAATTTCTGCATAAAATTAATCAGATGTAAACAAAGTCATTCAGAGTGTTTGATGTGAAACCTACTAAGGCAGAATCGTTCACAGTGGTGTCTGTAAGAGCTCCCTCACAGAAAGTCATCACATGGCATGGTTATGAATACACTGCCTGATGCTTGAGCCATTGTTTTAGACAGTTTTGAGAATGTTTTGGACTAAATTATTATTATTTTTTATGCATTTATGGTGGAGAGTCACATGCAGTGCATAATAAGACAAAATAGTCTCAGAAGAAAACATATTTTTTTAGATTCAAGACTATTTTATCATTATCAGCATTACAGATAAAACTCAGAAGACACATGCAGTTCATGGCTGCTTTTGGGTAGTAGATAAAATGGCTTATAGGTGTTGTAGACATTGTGTTCCCTGGTTCCTATCAGCACCACTGTAAAGGAATCAGAGTCAGTAAGTCTCTATACAGTAAACCATTTCACACCAAACAACTCTGAATGAGTCTGTTTGCATCTCAGCGATTGAATCATGCAGAATTATTGAAAAATAAATGGAATTCCCCTTAAAGTGTATTTGACTTGACATGGTGATGCAGTACAGTAGATTCATACCTGCAAATTCGTATTGTAGTCTTAGAAATAAACTTTGGACCTCCAACCAACAACTGACACACCCACCGTCCTTGTCTTTACCTCTCTTGCAGAATGCATTAAGTCTCACCCACGTGTCAAATTCTCTACAGAACTTCCTACGTACATCGACGTCTGAGTCTGAGTTTCCAGACTATCATGCAAAGGACATTGAACATCCAGACACAAAGGTTTTAAGCTTTATACGGTACCTGTGCATGTTGGACATTGACACTTTACTGTGCTTTGTGAATACCAGAAGAAACTGTGTACAGGTTTTTATACGTATGTCTATCCAATAAGAGAACATTTTTAATGACGTTTATTTATAACAATTACCAGTACATAACGCAATTAGAAGGAAAGGCCAGCATGTACCATAATTTCAAAAATGGGGAAAAAAGGGGAAATAGGGAAAAATAACTCTTGGTTTCAGCTTAAGTGTCTTTTAAACCCATTTGCTTTCCAGTATTGCAGAAACAGAGCAGTACAGTATTTATCCATTAGTATATAGAATAAAAGTTCATGTTTATTTTGTATATCATGAATGTGTTTGTGAGACGTGGGAGTATTTTAGTAACAAACTCAACCAAGATATCAATAATTGCTTTAAATGAATTAGATTTGAATTGAAAGGCGCTGTATTTGGCACAATAGTTTTCATTTTACGCTGCAACCTAAATTTCATATATAAACGTAGGGATAATTCTACTGTAGAGCTTTTTTAATCATGATTTTGTTATACTCCCCTCCTTTGTTTTGTCTGTTTTGTTGTCTTTGTGTTGTGGTATATTTAGCTGCAGGTAGATCCTGTTTGTTTTAAACAAAAAGAGGAAGAAAAACAGATCTCTGTTCATGTTCCTCAGCTCGGAGCAGCAGACTTACTGTTCTGATCCCGTTGCAAACTACACAGCGAGATACTGTACATAACTGTAGAGAGTGTAATCAGTCTGTTGATGGACAAAGTCATTATCTGTGGAAAAGCCAGTAATTTCTGAATCAACATTAACATTCATAACTGCGTTTTCTTCCTTTCAGATCTTGTAACATGATGAACCACTAACTCGCTTTATCACTGTACCCTTCAACACAGTAACACACAGCATGCACCTTTTTCTTTATTGCTTTTAAATTAATCATACCAAAAGTGAACTGTACACTCTATTTGACAGATATGAATGTGTGAGTATGTGGTTTAATATTTAATATTAGGCTACTGTTATTTTTCCTTTTTAAATACGTGCAATAGAGAACAGAAGAGACATAGAGATGTTCAGAACTGTTGGGATGTCTTCTTTATTTCTTCAGAAATCCCTTTCTACTTCTTTCTTTCCCTGCATTTTCTTCTTTATCTTCCTATCATTTTCTTCTTTTTTGTTGTTGTTTGCCTCTTTCTTTTCTCTTTTTCTTTCTGCTTTTTCTTTGTCTTCTTTTTTCTTTTCTTCTTCACTCCCTTTCATCTGCTAATTTTCTTTTTTTTCCTACCCTGCTTTCTCTTTCTGTTCTTTTCTTTTTCTTCTCATTCTTTTTCTTTATCTTTCTCTTTTTTCTTTTGTTTTTCTCATTTTTCTCTTATTGTATCTCTTATTGTTTTATTCTTTTTTCTTCTTCTGCTTCTTCTTCTCATTATTATTATCATTTTCTCCTTTTCTTTTCTTTGTCTTCTTCTTTGTTGTTTTTACTTTTTTATTTGTCTTCTTGCTCTTTCTCTTGTTTACTCCTTTTTTACTTCATATTTTTCTTTTTTCTTATCTTTTATTATTATTATCATTTTACTTTTAGTATATTTTTCACCCATCTTTTATTTCAGACTTTAGGTACCTATTTTCCTTTTACTTTCTTGCTCTTAGTCTTCTTTTCTTTTACTGCTTCTTTTTCTCTTCATCTTATTTTTTTTCTTCTTTTATTCTTTTATTTTTCTCCATTCTTTAGTTCAGACTTTAAGTGTCTATGACCAAGTCACAAGTGCAGTGACCTATTTTTCATCCAAAAACATTTTTAGTACTTACTTTGTACACATCAGCTCATTAGTTCATCTCAGTATAATCCTCTTTTATTTTCTCCTGCTTGTGCAAAATACTGTTGAGCAGACACTGGAAGAAATAACAGATCGTATCTTAACATAAGCCTTTACCTGATAATCATGTATATTCTTGTAACAAAATAGTTATAACTTCTTCTTTTTGCAGAATGCGTGTGTACATGTGCATTTGTTTTAGAACCATTAACTATATATACTTTACTTTTTTGTATTTTCATAAGCTGATGAATGTACTGTAAGTGGATAACGTCTTCATCACTGAATTGTGAGGATAAAGTGGGGGGCTGCATGTTTAAAAGGGAATTTATTAGGCATTCCGTTCTGTATCCTTATGAGTTTTGACAACTGTAGCCCAGTGATAATTTCATTACAGGAGAATATTTCATACACAAAGACCCATATTCTCACATCTGTGTAAAGATCATATCATTATGTACAAAAGCTGTGTGATCCGGATTGTCTTTAAGATGATAGTAGGAGGATGATGCCACGAGCTTGTGTGATAATTAAATGGTCATCAGCCAAATAACACTTAAGTACTATTCGGACGGGATAGGTTTTCTGAACGAGGCACTAGGACCACAGGTTGCCTGTGATGTCAATGACTGATTTGCACAGGATAAGTGTCACTAGTGATGCACTAAAATGAAAATTCTTGAGTGAAACCAAAACTGGAATTTAGGAAATACTCGAATGAAAAGGTTTTTTACATAAACTGAGAGTTATATTTAGGCTTTAACATAATAGTGCTGATGCTGCTTCAGTGGTGATAATCACCATATGGGGAAAGTAAGACTGAGAGGACTGGAGGACTTATTTAATTTTAAACAGCTTTCCAAATAATATTAAATATTGAAAGTTGTAAAATTGTACAAATATAATGCTTCTTGGTTTCCACCTAAAGCTGATTTCCAGAGTGAGTCCTTAATAACGATAGAAAACACCTCTCTGTTTAATATGTAAAGCACGTGGACGTGGCTTTGTAACTCCTGCCTAGCAGTCTGAAGTTTCTCCAGCAGAGGGTGCTATTAGCATGCAAGTCACTTTAGTGTTTGTCATTTAGAAAATAAACAGCCACAAGTTTCATCAGCCACAAATTTCATCATCTAATGAACGTTTGCAGTAACAACTTCCAAAACAAGAGATAAAAAGGTTTATTACCAAAAGATATTGAATTACTCAGAATTATTTATATGATTTCCTTTAAAGAATTTTATTGAATTATGATTTTTCACTACCATTAAAATGATTTGTTAAGTGTTAGACTTTGACACTTGCTTTTTTCTTGGCCTTTTTTTCTCTCTTTTATCCGAAAACCAAAAGTGCCAAGTTTTTTTAGTGGCCGGAATTTCAATGCATCACTAGTGTCTACTCAATGTATGTATTATCACACTGAAAATGTTCCATAAATATAAGTAAAAACATTTCTCTTATCCATCTATGCTAGCTCTTGCTAACTATCTACAGCTAGCAGGAGTCTGTAAAAAAATACTGCCATAACAGATTCAGACAGGACTAAAATTAGAGATACTCTGAAACTACTCTGAAAAAAGGCACACATTTGGCAGATGTTTGTTGAGATGTAGATGGACTTGCCCAAGGGCTTTTATTAGTGTAGCTTGTTGTGGTTTCCCAGGCAGGGAATCGAACCCCTGTCCGCAGTGTTGAGGGCAGTAATATATTATCCACTATGATATACGAACTGGATCCTGTCCAAATAGTACTAGAAAGTCTAGTGAAAGGCCAAGCAAGAAACACCAGCAACGGGATATGGATCTGACTGGGTCAAATACTATACATGATTCATTCATTTCCTCACATCTGTATAAATATTTCAAGACTTCGTCCAACTGAACTGTATAAGCTTATCAAGCAAAATCAGAACCTGTAAGTTTTACAAATACAAAATCCATTTTAAAGAACCCCACCATCATATCCACACTGACAGGACCCTAAAGGTCCACTATTCTTAAACTAAGTTGACGGAAAACAACAAGGCCAGTGTATTGGCTACGAGGGAAGACATATGGTATAACATCATGCAACGCAGTGCTGTAACTGGACGAACAGTAGCAGCGAGCCAATAAAGCCCAGAAGCCACTTCTTCCCTCTCAAGAGTTAGCGAGATTATTTTTGTAGAAGACGAGAGATTTATTACTGTAAAGCTTTTATATAAAAGTTATAACAAATTTAGGTGTACAATGTTCTTTTCCTTTCTTCGACCTGGACCCTGTGTTGTGCGTTGTTTTTCTGTTTGATGCATTTACAATCATATTTATTCTTATTAAATGGAGTATATGTTGATGTGTTTTGATTTTCCTACAATATTTGTAAAAAATAAAAATACACTCTGTAATTTGCTGAAGTAATCTACAACCTATAGATAAAGACAAATGAAGTGTCAATCCAGTGTGGGCATTTTATTCCCTTTGTGCAATAACTCTTGTTTGAAACTTTCATTAGTAATAAAATACGCAGTTATACAGTAAATTGCTGTTACTTTAAACAATAAATTCAGTTTCAGCCTCACACAGAGCCGTATTTAGAATAAACTTCTTGAGTTGTGTTTTTCTGCTTGCAGTGACTGGAGCATGTTTCGTATTTCAAACAATATCTCATCATGAATCTTTATGAGACTCTCAATACAACAGTCTGGGGTTAACAGTGACAAAGGCCACAAATACTGACTGAATGACAAATTAAAGTGATATTTTAGTGAAAACGCACATTTACTATTCTCATGAGCGGTTCTGACTGTTTGGGGTCAGAAGTTTGCTTATTTAGTTTTGCACTGGAGTCAGGAGGCTAATGTAGCTAACAAGTAATGGAAGCTAATAATCACTAGTTAGCATTGTGCAAACTGCAGGCCTAAATCATCACATTCTTGCCTCAAACCACTTCTAAGTTAAGTAATATCGCATAGCCTTGCTTATATGGAATAAGGGGAAATTTGTGTAACTTTAAACAAATTGTTTGGCAAAAAAATACAAGTGTTAAGAAATAAATAATCTTACAATAAGCACACAACAATCTCAAAATAGAATTTTAAACTAGAATTAAGAAATTTAACTTGACAATATCTTTGCAGTGCATTTTAAGAAGTCTATATTGTATAATTGTATAATAATATTATTATAATTAGCTAATTTGTCTAAAAAAGGTAATTA